CCCTTACTTTTCTCTCTGTAGATCTTCAAGAGAAGAAACTAAATTCACAACAGATGGCCACAAACTTTCAGCCTGAAAACCACAAAGCAGGTGAATCACCAACAGCTCAGGAACGTGTCTGCCAACGTGGCATTAATCAATAACCACAACTGTATTCTAATCAACCACTGACAGGTGATGGAAAACACAGAGAAAGGGCAGTGGCAGAGTTAACCCTCCTCTGTGACTTTCCGATCGCCTAGGAGAATGGACTTCCCCTTTCCGACCCCGTGAGTGGGTCATTCTTAGGACTACTGTCCATTTCCAGAACTTCCCATTTCTGCAAGGAGTCAGATGAGCTGGGCAGCACTCCAAGTTACGACTTACTTGGGCACCAGACCTAGCCCTAATCTCACAATACCTTTCCACCCGCTCTGCTTGTATTTCCATGACTGGACAGGGAATCTACAAAGTTTAAAATGAGAACTAGAGTGCGTGGGTTATTTTTTTTTTTTTCAATAGGTTGTTATGTAGCCCTTGAACTCTGAATTTTGGTCATGCAACACCATACCTGGCTGTAGGTGTGACTGATAGCAAATATTCCCATTTGACAGATACATGGCGGCATTCAGACACACCAAGAGGTGTTTGCATAATGTGGGCAGTGGCTGGAGGCTAAGAGAGAACAGGTGACTCATTTGTTAGCGTGAAGGAACACCTTGCAAAGCTCACCAGGTGATACGCCCTGCAACCATCTCGCTTCCCTTCTGAACCATCCCAAGGCAAACAGGTACACAGCCCTGGAAATGCCCCCAAAATAACAGCAGTGGAAAGAAAGAAATGGTCTAAAGTAGGCAGATTCACACGATACCAGCCAGGAACTGAGGGGTTAAAACTCCATCAGCTTCTACTACTCTGGGGCAGCAGTTCCTGCCTCCAGCAGGGGACATCCCAAGTGTGGGGTTACCTTTTTCCTTAACTAAGCAGAAAAAAAAGGAAATGTTACTAGAAACCCAAAGAACAAATTTAAAATCAGGCCCTAAATCATAGACTTGAACATAACGAGAAAAGCAATATTCTGGCAGCCAACCTCTTCTACCCAGCATGCCAAGTTATCATCTGGGACTGGTTTCAATAGCAGCTTTGTAGCCCAGATGGCCAGCACTACCACCCTACAGCTAGTTCTCAGCTCCAGATAAAGACTCTGTGTGTATATGTGCAAGCCTTACCTTGAACCTGAAGCCCTTGCTCTTCGTGTCCTTTGTAGGCTAAACAACCCTAAGTTTCAAGCAATGAGCCAGGAACCCAGAAGAAATAACCACGTCTCTACTTTCCCCTCTGATTTTTTTTTCTGACAGATGCCCAAAGAAGCATTCCAAACATTTAAGCTTATGTTTAAAAGTGCGAACGAATTACTCTCTTCTTTCCATTCATCAGAGGATTGCTGATCCCCATCCTAATAAAGCACTCCTGTTCTGCCAGGGATCCACCCCTCCCTCATATGCCTTCTGCCATGTGATGGTTGGTTCCTAAGTGTCCACTTCACTAGATTTCTGATCACCTTAGAAACACACCCCTGGGTGCATCCGCCAGGGTGTTTCTGCGAAGGTTTGACTGAGGAGGGAAGCCCCACTCTGAATGGGGGCAGCATCATTCCATGAGCAGGAGTCCTGGGCTGAAGGAAAAGGAAAAGGGTGAGGAAGCAAGCTGGGTGCCAGCATTCGTCTTCCTTCGCTTCCTGTCCATGTGATAGCATCCACCACCTCACGCTAGCAGCGCCTTGTCTTTCCTGTCCTGATGGACTGGATCTCCTTAAAGCGCAAGCCAAACCCCTCCTTCCTTAAGAGGCTCTTGTCTGGAATTTTGTCAGAGAAGCTACAAAAGTAACTAACTTACCCTCTTACATCCACGGCCAGACAGACAAACCACAGCTACGGACTCTCTCCTCCTGATCCTGTTCTCCACATACATCCGTAAGGTATGTATGCTCTTACACACTGACTTGTACATATGCCATAAGTAACCCATATTGGGTGAGAGGACACGTGAAATGTGCACTGCCTGGGCAGTGGTTGGAGTGGATTAGCTCCTAAAAATGCAAGCTGAGGACAGAGGCAGGAAAGACATGGGCAAGTGATCAGACTGCGGACCAGAGTGAGACAAATGAGCCCCGCTCTGATTTGGGTACAGCAGAAGTATCTACTTGACTACTTCTGGTAATGCAGGCTGAGGAACTTGCCTGGGTGGCCCAATATTAATCAGGAACATATGGCAGCTGGGACTCAGGAGAGTAGACAAGATCCTAGTTAAAACAAAGAGACACAATTCTGGGCACTGTGAATCCTGCAGCCTGCGGGACAAAGTGGGTTTCACTCACCTCTCTAAACTGTCCTTCCTCAACCTCCATACACATGGGCACATTGGTGCTCTTTCCTCTGTCCTGGTGCTGAGGTTTGTGACCCAGCCTATCTCAGCAGCCTTCATTCACTCGTCTGCTACTTCTAAGAGATAGGCTATATGACTTTAGTTTACACAAGAACTACCAGCCTATTTCACAGGATGAGAGGAGCCGTTTATAGGGCTGGACTAGATGAAAGGAAGAGAGATGGATAGGATGTGTTTCTCGCCACAACTAAACCAAGTTCTTTTTTTTTTTTTTTTTTTTTTTTTTTTGGTTTTTCGAGACAGGGTTTCTCTGTGTAGCTTTGCGCCTTTCCTGGAACTCACTTTGTAGTCCAGGCTGGCCTCGAACTCACAGAGATCCGCCTGGCTCTGCCTCCCGAGTGCTGGGATTAAAGGCGTGCGCCACCACCGCCCGGCTAAACCAAGTTCTTAATGCTCACCCAGGTGCACACATCTTCCCCTCCCCAGATCCCTAGGGAAGTGATGAGGCAACGTAAGGGGGCAAAGGTTCAGGCAGCAGAATATGCTAGAAAGATATCTGGTTAGAGTCAAGTAGATCCTGGCAGTTAATTACAAAAAATGTAAACATCCTTGGATCCTTGGTGCCTTTCCCCATGAACAAAGTATAAATAATCAGCAAATTACAGAGTAGTTAGAATTAAATCAAACAGGATTACAGTAAAATGCCTGTACAAATGTCACAGTATTAGTGACAGCTCTGTCTCTTCACATTAACCTTAGTCTGAAAACCATCTTCTCTCTCTCTCTCTCTCTCTCTCTCTCTCTCTCTCTCTCTCTCTCTCTCTCTCTCTCTCTCTCTCTCACACACACACACACACACACACACACACACACACAGAGAGAGAGAGAGAGAGAGAGAGAGAGAGAGAGAGAGAGAGAGAGAGAGAGAGAGAGAGCAGAAAACTAGTCACCAGCTGTGAATGGAAACCCATGCAAGGTCTTTGGGGGCTTTTATGAATTGATCAATACTAATGACCAACTGATGGATACCAATAACTGATCAGTGGTAGTGAATGATCAACAATCTATTTTTTCAGCTCTACCTGTGATTATTGTGGGGTTTTCTTTTCCTCCTTTCCCTAGACTCTATCACCAGACAGCTAGCATTATGCAGTGAGGGGTCACCAATGTGTCCTTTCCGATTCTTACACTTAGGTGATTTTTAAACTTGCCTCTATTTACCTTTGCAGGAAGAGGTACACCACAGTAAATACAGTTAGCTAAAAAGATTTTTTTTTGTCTAACATTAAGGGTTTTGCTTTAAAAAAAAAACAGTATTTTTCCAACTATGTATGTATAGGAGTCCTAAATATATGAGTCAAGCAATATGTGAGATGGACATTAAGAAAAAGGTACAGAGGGGGTTCAATACTATTTCAGGAAACTCTGGCTTCAACTCTGGCTTCCTTTGGTTCGAACGTGCTGGTTGTGATGTAAATATAATTCCACATGGCAGGTCAGAGTCAAAAAAGTTTGGAAGTCAATAGAATAAGGCAACGAAGCAGCAGACGGGATTCAGAGTTCTCCTTCCCACAAGCCCTGCTATTAAGAATGGGGCTTTCGCCTTAAGGGACCATATGCCTGTTTGCTGGCTCAGAATCCTTGACCATAGTTAAGCCATTCTGACCTAGAAGCCACCAGCTTCCATCACATCTGGATCCCTTTCACATAATCCTAACCTGCCTCCCATCCATACCTTCAGGGTAGGAAGACTAGTTTCTGGAAGTAGGAACTTCCAGAAAGAAAACGCTTCCTTCCCTCACAAACACTAACTCCTCACTCTAGCAACTCCAAGGAGAAAGCTAGGAGGACGCATCTGGGCGTTCCTCTTCTTCAAATACGAAGCAGAACAGCAGCTCCGGGATGTCGATGCCCCTGGCAGAGCCTACAGCCGTGTCGTTCACTTGCACACTCCCCCCCACCCCGGAACCGCCCACTGTTGCAACGCACACCCCCCCCCCCGCAGTGGGTGGTTAGGGTAAAGACGGGGTGACATAACCAGTTAGTCCTCCTAGAAAGACAGCTTGCCAGAGAAGGCTTCTCCAACCCCATCCCCGAATGCTCCCACGTTAATTCCTCAAAATTAAGCCTTCGGAGAAAGTGAACTTAGCGGCTGGGAAAGTTACCTCGCTGGGAGCAACCACAAGCAAGGGCGGGCATAGAGCATAGGGTCTTTTTGGACCCGCGTGGGAGGCGACGTACGCGGGGGGTGGGGAGTGGGGGTGGGTTCCCTCCTTTCGGTATCTAAAAGAACCTTCCAGCCGAACAGGAAAACAGAGAAAACAAAAGCCAACGTGCCCGCGGCCACAAACCAATCCTCCCGCACTGAAGCGGAGCAAGCTAGAGAGCGAAGAGGCACCGGAGCGGAGCTGAGAGCCGCGGCGGGACGGAGAGGGGGGGCGGAACAAAGCCCCAGGGATCCCTCGGTTCTCGTCTGGGGACACAGTGCCCCCGTTGCCCCGGGACCCCCGAGCGGGGTGGGATGCAGGTGTGTGGGTGCGAGTGCGCACGCAACGGGTCCCTCCCCCGCGCCCTCCGAAACCTAGCGGGCGATGTGCCCGCCCCCAACCATCTCTCCATCCCTAAGCGGCTCTCACCCGAGCGGGGATCGAAGGTGACTACGAACACAGCCACCACCTGGTCCTCCTCCACGTCGCCCAGCTCCAGACGCCCGGGCTGCAGCAGCACTTCGGGGGGTGCTGGCTCGTCGGGTTCCCGCCTTCGGGGCGCATCCGCGGCCGCTTGGCCGCTCCCACCGCCGCCCCGGGCCCATCCTCCCGTCTGCAGCGCGGGGTCCTGCGGCACAGAGACCGCGGGGCCCTCGGCCCAGCGCAGCAGCGGCGCCGCGTCTCCCTGCTCCACCATGGCGAGGCGAGGCGGAGCCGAGGCGCGAGGGGCGGGGCGGGCTGCGGGCACTCCCCTCCGGGCCTGCCCGCCCCGCCGCTCTGCGCCGTGCCGCCACTCTCTTGGTGCCCGCCGAGCTTGGCCACACCTGCCCCTGCCCCTGCCCCTGTCCCGGCCGAGGCGCGGCGCCCGGAAGCTCCGGAAAGTGGCCCGCTCGGGGTCGGCGCCCCAGGGCCTGGTCTGGGCTTCAGCTCTGCATCTCTGCATGCCGGTGCTCTTGACCCAGAGTGTGGGATGCAGGGCGCACATCCCTTAGTCTGTCCACCTGCGCGTGGGTTGAAGCGCCTTCCCACCTAGGATTCCACTGTGAATTGTACGTCACCATTATTTTTAAGGACCAGCGCACATAAATTATATAATCCCGAGAGCTTGGTGAAAGCTGCCTCGAGGTCAGGAAGTGAAGCAGAGGCAGGGCTGACTTCCCAGGTGTTTCAGATATACACATGAATCAGGATTGAAAGGACTGGAGGGTGGCTGATTGGGATGGTAATGGGAATTTATTTCCCTTTTTATATGCAATTTGAAGATATTAAGCTGGTGGATTATGAGGGTTGTTCTACATTAAAAAAGAGCAGGAAAAAGAAGTCAGAGGAGTGGGAGAAGTCAGGCCTTAAGCCTGTGGCTTTAGAAAGTAAGGGTTGCCTAGGAACTCCCTTTGTATATTTACAAATAAATTTTTGAATGTCTCAACTCTGGGGGTGGGGGAGTGTCAATCTGGTGACTAGCTCAGAAGTATGCATAAGAAGCCATTAAACTCATGAAAAAAATAAGATGGCAAGAGACAATTATGTAGATACACAATTCACCCCAGGTTTCAAGAAGGCCCAGTTTCTGACAAGGACTTGGTGGATTTCTGTGTTAACCTGTTACCCCAGGGGCCTTGTGAGACTCATGGCCTCTCTGCTAGGGATGCAATGATAATATGCCTTAATCCTGTTCTCAAGAGAATCATCAATGACTGCCTACAGCTGCTGCTAGTTCCAAATATGTGACTGCGATTTAACAATAAAACGTTTTTACCAAAAAGAGGAGGGATTGCTGTCATCATCATTCCTTAGTTCAACCTGACCTCCATCCCCTAAAGACATGTTAAGTGACTATCTCACTCAATTAATGGAGTAATTACTGAAATGGGAGTCTGGAGATGTACAAACCAAGCCAGGGTTTTAATTCAAGGGCACTCCAGGCTGGGTTAGTCACAAACTCTCAAGGCCAGACACCAAAGCCCAGTACTTGAGAAGACTGAGCCACAGCCAAAGCTTCTGAGGTTGAGACAAGATTTTATTTTTAAATCAAAATGGAGGTTGGTAGGTAATCCTTAACCTTTCCAAAGTCACCAGTTTTAGGGCAAATCGATTTTTTTCTTTCTTACTTGAAAAAGATCCTTTCCTGGTCTTTTATGGCAATGTGTGCCTTTCCGAACACCCCTAATTTAATGCCCTAGGACTACATATATACCCATAAACAAACTTGTAATTTCCATAGCATTCAGCTCTCTATATATGCAGAAGAGAAGTTTCCCAACTGACAGTCATGTTCTGTCTTCAGCATATTCTAGTTTGCTAACCATGGAGCCCAATAGTATATTCCTAGTGCTTTGCATAATGTTGCTCAACAGAATCTGTGAACTTAGGAAGTGAAAGCAGAGGCTGACACTCCCATGCCACGGGCCCTCTCGCCAGGCTTTCTCTAGTATCTTGCAAGTGGTAGGTGCTCAAAGATGTTAGTGATGGTGATGATGCTCTGTTTTCACATACACATTCACAATCTGAAAGATGCTTTTATACCTCACCACCAGATTAGCCTCTGTATCTACTGAATTGTCGCACGATGATATTGAGTTTAGCAGTTAGAACAGTTCTGCTTGGGAACAAGTATTTGAGATCAATGGGAGAAAGGCCACTCACTCATTTTCAGAGATACTTGGCTGAGGTAATGATATTTCAAAACATGTTCACCTAGAACACCATGTCTAAATGTTAAAATAAATCTTTTACTTTCTCAAATACTAAATATATCTACATTACATAAAGTACAGAATATTTTTAATCTACAGCCTCAATATAGATGGTAATCGTAAAGACTTAAATTGTCCCATCTCATCCATTCTAGAAGGCAGAACGCATTTGTGTTTAACCATGCTGTGGTGTCTGACAATTGTCACTGAGGTCTGGTTGTCACAGAAGAGATTTCTGGGCACTTTGTCAGCCATGGGAAGGAACCACCAACCCGAGACTAAGCTGAATGAAAGACCCTGCTTGAAGTTCCTTGGGTAGTGCTGCTAGTGTGTCTTCAAACTGAAAGCTAGTTGAAACACCGGCTTGTAATCCAAATCCTTAGTTGAGATTTTTCTTCCCTCCCGCTAGTGACAAGTTGAAACAGGAAGTTTTCTTATCTAGCCCTCTTTGTAGGTGGCTGCTTTTATATGGCCATACCCGAGCGGAAGTGTGATGTAATGGCTTGTCTTAAATAGATATCTATTAGATGTTTTCTTTCTGTGTTTGCTTGTTGACAGTATGCTCTGTGTTCTGTCTGTTTTCTTTTCCCCTTTCCGTCAGATCATGAACATTTTGGTATCCTATAAAGGAAAGCGCCATGCATTATTTTTGTGGCTAGTGTTATGTGAGAGTCGGATAATTTATATCGCCATCTGTCATTGTTGGAGAGTACAGCTCTTCCCCTTCTGTTGTGTCTGAAGTTTTGACCGAATTTCACACTTACTGTAAAGCTCTGTAACCTTCAACCCTGCACACAAACTGGGAGAGAAGTGAGAAAGAGAACTGTCTCTCAAACTCATACCCCAGCAGGAAAAGCAGCTCTCAGGCAATAAATAAGATGTGGGATGAGGGCAGACAGTCAGCCATCAGGCTGCAGACGTGCTGACTGCTAGAGGTGGCTGACTGGGTTCAAGTGCATTCTTTTCTTTTAAAGGTCTTGATTGTTATATGTTTGTGTTTTATGATTGAATCTATTTTTTTTTTCCAAAATACATGCTAGAAATTTGTGTTTCCTCTTTGGAACACGTCTGTCCATTTAATGTCGCAATCTTACCCAGTCTTGTTATGATCTGAGACTTAACATTTTCCCATTGAATAGCTAATATTTGTGTATATTTATGGAATTATTCCTTTAATCCCCATGAGTTGTAATTCCCTTATAGTGCAATACTAAATTACTATATTTGCTGATTATACATTTCTAGCCATTGTCTATTTTACACTCCAACCACACCAGTGGGAGGCCCTGGCAGGTCTTGGCATAAGAATATCATGATTCTATTTACTCTTTAGAGAGAGTCCATTAGCTGTTAGATACAGAGTAGAGTAGGTGAAGCAAGGGTAAGTTCACTGGATCCCTATTATGAGCCTGAAGTCTTCAGGGATGGGAGGTGGGGGAGGAGGGGTATACATGGGATTTCAGAGAAACCGAGTAGTAGTTCTCACACAGTTCTTTCCTGAGATGTGAAGACAATGCAGAAGGAGGGTTTGAGACAGAGGCTTGGGACACATCAAGAGGAGCCTGTTCAGTAGGCAGAGCAAGCTGTGATAGATCAATGAAAACGGAAGTTCAAGAAAGAAGATTGTGAGGTCGTTATAAATCCCAGGGCTAGATGGCTGTAGACAGCATCTCCAGCAAAGGCACTCCATGGAAGTGAGTGCAGACCAGTTTTATGGGACAAAGCCCACTGAACTCCATATTTACAGTTCGTATGGACAGAAGTCATTCCAGCACTTTATGGATCAGATTTTAAGATACGCGTGTAATTATTTATTTGGTTACAGGTAATTTAATATTATTTCAAACATTTTAATAAGTAGATAGTCACAGTAAAAGATTAATCTGTCTGGGAGATAGCTTAGACAGTAAAGTGCTTGCTTTTTAAGCATGGGAACCTGAGTTTGATTCCTAGAATGCACATTTAAAAACCCGGGCACAGTGGCACACTGTTGTAATCCTGGCATTGGATTGGAAACCTGCCTCTGCCCCCAAGACCAGTGAGAGACCCTGTCTCCAAAGCAAAAAAAGAAAAAAAAAAAAAAGAAGGAAAAGAAAGTCAAATGATGCTTGGTAAATGACACTCTTATCCTCTGTCATCTACAGTTACCCCCCCCCCCACACACACACACGTGTACCTGCACATACAAGAACAAACACATACACATGAGCAAAATAATCACACTGCCCGAGAGATGTAGTGAGCAGCGTTGCCATCTCTAGCTCCCCACTTCCATCCTCTCCATAGAGAAAACCACTTTGCACAGTTTCTGAGTTTTCAGAGCTTCTGGGGGCTGACCCTGTGAAGAGGTGTTAATTCCTCTTTATCACCATCTTCAAACACTCATAAAATGCTTTCTAATGCAGGTGTGGTGGTGCATGCCTGCAATCTCAGCATTCAAGAAAGGGGCAAGAGAATCAAGAGTTCAAGGCCAGCCTCAGCTACCTAGAGGATGAAGGCCAGGCTGGCTGGTCTGTATGAGATAATTTCTTGAAAAACAAAACCAGGGGCTGGAGAGCTGGCTCAGAGGCTAAGAGCTCAGAGGCTGCTCTTCCAGAGGACCTGGGTTCAATTGCCAACCACATGGTGGCTCACAGCCATCTATAATGAGATCTGGTGCCCTCTTCTGGCCTGAAGGCATACACACAGGCAGAACAATGTATACATAATAAATAAATCTAAAAAAAGAGAGAAAGAAAGAAAGAAAGAAAGAAAGAAAGAAAGAAAGAAAGGAAGAAAGAAAGAAGGAAGGAAGAAAGAAAGAAAGAAAAGTAATCCAAGGTGGGGAGGTGGAGAAGTGGGGAGGTGGGGAGGTGGGGAGGTGGGGAGGTGGGGAGGTGGGGAGGTGGGGAGGTGGGGGAGGAGGTGGGGAGGTGGGGGAGGAGGTGGGGAGGTGGGGAGGTGGGGAGGCCAAAAGTGGAGGTGGGGAGGTGAGGGAGGTGGAGAAGTGGGGAGGTGGGGAGGTGGAGAAGTGGGGAGGTGGGGGAGGTGGGGAGGTGGGGAGGTGGAGAAGTGGGGAGGTGGGGAGGTGGGGAGGTGGAGAAGTGGGGAGGTGGGGAGGTGGGGAGGTGGGGAGGTGGGGAGGTGGGGAGGTGGGGAGGTGGGGGAGGTTACAAAAATAAACATCAGTGTAGTGACTTTGCAACAGCACCAGACTGGGAAGCACAGAGAAGTGGCCTTGAGTATTTGATCGACTTCTACCACCTGTCCTTGGGTCACAAACGAGATATAAGTCAAACAACCACAAAACTTTTCCATACCTACTGACTTATTCCAAGTTAAAAAAAAGTCTGTTTGGATGCCTGCGTGCTAGTGCGTACAGGTATATGCAAAGATGTATATATCCATATAGAAAGTGAGCCAGGAGGTATAGGGCTCTCATGGCTATGGTGCTAGCTGAGGTGTAGGTAACATTATTTGCTGTAATTTTAGGGGAACTGGAAATTCTCACAGCTAACAGAAATGACCAGGTGAGTGATGACAAGGAATAATTTTTAAATATCTGCTCCTTAGAATATGGGCAGGATATCAAGGATATCTAAATTATTGTGCACCACTTTATAAATCTGTTCCTGTTCTAGGAATACTCACTCTGCCTCTACCTCAATTTTAATAATAGTAATTTTAATGAATAGCCTCTCATTCTAGCCAAGGGGGAAACTGTGGCAAGAGAAGCAATGCATTAGCATCTGCTTGATGCATTCACTAGTTACATTTCTGTAGATAGCAAAATGATGGATTAGCCTAGAGATTTTTATTATTGGCACCAAAGTATTCATGAAATGACATGAAATCATTGATTTGCTTTTAAGTACCCTAGCACCTGCCCTCAAAAGATTTGAAGATACAAAGGTAACTAAGTTATAAAGCTGTTATAAAGTTTGGAGCTAGGTTGTAATATAGTTGCACTATACTGTCTTCCCTGATGTGGAGATGTTTGATCATTTTCATAAGAAAAATTCAAATGGGGTAGAGAGTTTGTGAGAGCCTTTGTTGCTCTTCCAGAGGACCCAGGTTTGTTTCCCAGCTCTCATATGGTGGCTGACAACCATCTGTAACTCCAGTTCCAGGGATCTGACACCCTCTTCTGGGCACCAAACATTTGAATGTGGTACATATACATACACGCAGGCAGAACACTCATACACACAAAATAAATCTAAAAGAAAGACATTTAAACGAAAGTATCAGTGGGAAGGCAGACATTCCAGTGCTTTCCAGTGGGGCAGTCCCATCAAATACAGCATAATATAACATCACAACTTGGGTTATCTTAGTGACAGGCTTAATTTAGTTTGAAATAATGTGCAGAATCTCACTTTGGCCTGTTGAGGTTTGGTTTTTACCATTCTCTCTCCAGACCCAGGGACCATCAGCCTTTATGACCTTCCTTGGAGTGACAAGAGTCTCATCTTCTAATGCAGTGGTTCTCAACCTGCAGGTTGACACTTCTTTGGGGGTTAAAGACCCTTTCACAGGGGTCACCTAAGACGACCTGGAATAGCAGATATTTACATTACGATTCATAACAGTAGCAAAATTACAGATATGAAGTGGCAACAAGGATAATGTCCTGGTTGGGGGTCACCACAACATGAGGAACTGTATTAAGGTTGAGAACACTGCTCTCATGTATCTCACCTTCCAGGCTATAATTCTATACTTTCACTAAAGAAGAGTCTGTCCTAAAGGGGAATACAGGTTTCATGCCTTGCAACATCACTTCCAGCAGGCAGATCTTCCAGCTTCTGCTTTCCCTAAGGCCCTGGAACCAGAGTGAATCCTCCTTATCACTTGGTAGTGTGTTTACAAGAGACAAACTCCCCCCAGGCAAGAGGCTTGGGGATTTGAATGCAACCTGACATACAAGGTTAGATTCGTTCCTACACATCTCACTCTTGTGATCTTTGGTTTTCTCTGGGCAGCAATTTCTATTACAGTTTTTTTTTAAAATAGTGACTATTTTAAACAAAACTAAGATATGTTATTTCCCCAAATCCATCCAAAAACGATTGATTGAACATCTATTGTGAATCAGGCATTAAGGGAAAGACTTCCTTTTGCTCCTACTGACACAGATAATGTGGGGCCCCTGTTAACCAATCATCCTGGTTATTATGGGATGTCTGGGATGGATGCACCGGAGCAGAGCTGGAATTTTCCATAGTGTAGAGACTAAGAATGGAGAGCAGAGTATAACATGACAACGAAGGTGGTGAGGCTCCAGGCCAGAGGCAAGACTGGGTCATCAGAATCTGCAGCTGCTCGGTTCTCATTGGCTTTCCCACCCCAGAATATTATCTAATGGACAATTGGTGGAAAAGAGTGTGGCGCTAGATTCTGATAGAATCGCCATTGGCAACCCAAGATCTAAACACAGTTCCACCCCGGGCAAACAATATAGTTATAAATGGTTTATTATATTTGTAGTTGAGAAGTCTAACAGGGGGAGAGGGAAGGCAGGGCACAGTGGTCACCAATGATCATCTGATCTACCTGGGAAACTCCCACCCAACCAGCCGCTATGCCCCGCCTCCAGGTCCAAGATATCCTCGGCGTTTTATGTCAGGCTCCGTTCTTTTGGGAGCAAAGCCAACAACTTGCTGCCCTGGAGAAGAAGTGTCAAGTCATGTGATGTGAAGATACACGGAGACCGTGGGAGAAGAACTGTATCACCTGACTCACTGGCTTGTAACCAAGAGCCTTACTCCCAGGCTCAGAATTTCTGTTGATGGTAAATTCTTTACTGGTAACCTGTGCCTTCCTTTCCCTTGGATGGCTTTTTATTGCCACTTACGGAATGCTGAGCCTCTGACAAAGGTGGGCACTGAGTTTCCACGTGCTGAGAGAACTACTTCGCTGCCTGTTCAAGTACCTGGAATAGTGAGGGTGGGTGGGAGGGGGTGGGGAAGACCAACGAAGCATCATTAGTGGGCCACCTGCCAAATCACTGGCTCGTGGGGAAGCCTTCAGCTGAGGACTTGATTTCGCATTGCCCGGCTTTCAGTTAGGTTGCCCTCTCGGTGAGTTCTTGTTGGAGATGGGGAAGGATAGGAGAGGAGCAGGCTGTGAAGGGGCCAGTGAGAGAGACAGTGGAAGAGGAATGGGAAGCAGTTGTAAAACCAAGCCTCCGGCCCCGGGGAAGTACAGTTTGTTTCAAACTCTTTAAGCTGCCTTGGTCCTCAGTCTCTTTGTCCCTCTCTTGCTCTCTTCATGTCAGGCCCCTCCAGAGCCACTTTAAAGGCACCAAGGGGCCCCTGGGCATCATTTTCCTTTTTACCTGACTGCCTTTCACACAGATGGCCCCTATAGTATCAGGGAGGCTTCGCTTTTTCTCTCTCTCTCTTTCATTTCATAATATATGTGTACACCTTGTGTAATGATTATCATAATCAATTTAACATGTCCCTCACCACTCTAACTGGAATTAGAGTCTCAGAACTTGTTCACTTATAACTAAATGCTGGCCTCCTTTGACCAACTTGTCCCTGATCCCTGGAGACCATTGCTCTACTCTCTGCTTCCAAGAGTTCACTTTTTCCAGCCTCCGCGTATCAGTGAGATCACACAGCATTTGTTCTGTACTAATTTAATAGCACGATGTTGTCTTCCAGGCTCACCCGTGCTGTCAGAATGGCAGGATTGCTTTTGTTTGTAGCCAAACGGCATTCCTTTAGAACTGTGTGCCAGTTCAGAAACTCCATCCAACCGGTGATGGCATGTGCTGTTTCCACACCCTAGCTGTTGTAGTGAACATGGGGATGTGGAAACCTCTTTGAGATGCTGGTTTCATTTCCTTTGGGGGTAACTGCACTGAAAAAAAGATTGTGGGATCATTTGATTATTTTTCCCCCAAAGAAGAGGCTTCTGAGAAGAAAATTAAACAATTGAAAATATCTAAAAAAGGCATTCTATGAAATATGGCAAATTTCAGCTCAAATAATTGTATTTTAAAAATTATTATAATCCCCTTCCAGGCATTGCTGTTCTTTCTAAACCTTGTCAGCTCAAAAATTTGCTCAATCTCCTGATAGCTTTAATTGCTCCCAGTTGGTGGGGAGGGATGATATTTGAATTAAGAAAGGTGTGTCTGGCAAAGGTACAAGGGGTGACCCCACTGAGGATATGAACATCAGGCAAGACATGCTAAAGTTTGTGCAAGGATCATCAGGATATGTAAGCGATGCCTAATCTTAATGGCCCGCTGCTGTTAGTCGTGAGATGGGTGTGGCGTGAAGGCAGTAGAGATTGGTCCTTATGATGGCAGATGTGAAAGAGTAGGAAATAATTCCCTTCTGATAATGAACTTGCTCCCCAATTGGCTAATGGACATCTTTCCGTAAATTAAAGGAAGCCAACCATCTTACTAGTATTTCACAGCAACTGCCCACTGGGAGACTCTGTGGGATATCAGGAGAGTTCTTACAGAGATTAGATGTAATTGCTTGGAGAGTTGCTGGAGATTTCTTTAATCAGAATGGAAATGAGGATATGCTGAGGCCTTAGAAGTGTGGTACTTAAGGGAGAACCTTCGCAGTGTGTCTCTCAGCTGTTGTCGGGTAGAGGGAAGGGCAGGCTAAAGTTGAGGATTGTTGTTTTTTTCCCTCCTTCCTATCTGTAGATTCACAGTGTTCCCTTCTCAGAGACCTCCTTGCCTGCACTGTAAGGTTCTTCACTGAGATGGCTGACAGAAGGGTTGACGAAGAAAGGCTGAATAAGAAATTAAACTTCTCCTTTTGTGAAGAAGATACTGAGAATGGAGGGCAAATGACAGCACACAGCACTGGAGAGGCCCCGAGCCAGAAGCCTAAGACCAATGAGGATGAGGACTTGGAGGATCCCAAGTCTCCTCCCAGAGATGAACTTTATCCTCAGAACAGAAACATGGAAAGTCCAGGTCCTATTCTTTGGAGTCCAGCTCCATTCCTTCCTAAATGTCCAGAGACGCCAGTACCATACGGCAAGAGCAAGGGGCCAGTCTCCGACAACCCCTCCACTCCCAAAGTGAGTAAACCATGGAGAGAGGAGGGACCAGGTCTCTGAGATCTGTTTGCCTATGGGGCTACTGATCAGAGAGGAGGGTTTGGTCATTTACATCTATGCAATGAGCTTGCCTCGCAGACCAGATACATCTTCAGTTACCTATTTCTTAGTGGAAATGGAGGTGAGTGTAAAGTTACCAGGAAACAGAATGAAATGTCTAGCTGCTTTGTTTCCTTCAACCAGTAACTATTTGGTATTGGCTACACAAACATCTTAGTTGAAAAGATCTTAGTTAAGGAATATTGGAACTGGAAGAGATGTAGAGGTCCACAGCCATCCCATGTACTTTGCACATAAGAAAATCAGTTTCTAAGAGACGAACTGTCTTACCTCAACCTCTGTCAGAGACGAGACTGGATGCTTCATTTTTTGATTTAGTCTATTTTCCCTCCCATCATGCCAGTTGACTATATTTCTGGGTAATTGTTTACCAATATATTCTAATACAGGAATGTTCATGTTCACCATCGGCACATACTCACATCTGCTGCTGTTGTCCTTTCCAGCACAGAGTCCCCTCTGCTTTGCGCCTAGGGCAGGATTGGAACCTCTGTTATACTTGGGAATAGCAGAACGTGTTTAAGAATTGGAAGTGGCAGCAATTAAGCAATGGTTGCTTCGAGTTCACATATTCTTTTATTTACATTACATCACACTGCTCATTTATTAAAGCTGAGGCTTGGGGATGGTTACATCTAGTAGATTCTGATGGCAGGTATGTGATTCCCTAGGCTGAACATTAGCTCTGCCCCCTGGCAGCTCAGCTTGAGGTACTTAAGATCATTATAACATGTGTGATCCTGCTTGCAGCACAGTCACTGTCAGCGGGTCTCTGTAGTGCCTGCTGAGGGCCAGAGTGTGTCTTACAGGAAACACCAGGCTTCCTGTTGAACTGTAGACAATCAAGTAGGTTCTGGTGTCCATCAGAAGATGGTTCAGTGTTCCAGTACTGACCAACTGATTATCTGTTTTCTTCTTCTTGAGGACCTACAATCTCTGTTTTCAAACAATTCATCAGGACATGGGATGAGTGATTTTTTTTTAAATACTCTGTGAAGAATCACTCTCAGTGGGTAGATTAGGAGAGAAGGAAAGGTGAAGGAAGCAAGTGAATAGCAATGATAGTTGATGTTGTTTCAACAGATGATGGAGAATAGGCTTTGTGTAGGAATATGCAGACAAGACAGTGTGATGAGCATACATATGTCTTTCATTCATTGCATTATCCACAATGTGCTCTGTGTTAGCAGACCCTCTGCTAGAAGATACCATTTGTTTTCTTTAACAAGTGCCTCCCCCCCAATTAATAAGCAACTGAAGCAGCAATAAACGCTCATATAATGTGAAGAATGGCAGAGTATGAGGAGCAGAAATTGGAAATTAAAGTTCAAAACAGTGGGGGCAGTTTTCTAAAGGAAGTACTATCTGAGAAAGACTTAGATAATGAACTGAAGTTAGCCAAGTAAAGAGGGGCAAAGAGACCCCCAAGCAAAGGACAAGACATCCACTGAGTAAGAGGGGGAAGGAAAACTATTTGTTATTAGGTGAGACAGGAGTCTCTGTGTAAGAGAGACCCAGAGAATGAGGAGAGATGGGTAGGTGGAAGAGAGATGAACATTCTGTCCTAAAAGTGTTGAATGATTATCTTTGAGTAGGGGTATTTTTTAAAAGTCATGCTTCATGTACAAAGTGGACTAGACCAGAGAAAAGTCTTGACACAGGGGATTATTCACAAGGATTTTGCTGAGAGCAGAAAAAGGCCAGAATTATGACAGGGGTGAACAGGACTTAAGTTGAGAGATGTTCAGGAACTAGCAATAAATTGATGGGGGTGTTGCATGGAAAAGAGAGATCGAAGATGACGGCGAGGCTTCTTGCTTGATTGAATAGGTAGAGCCTGGAATCAAGATGGGAGACACCGAGTATATATGAGTTTGGGGGAATAAAACAGATATGTGGAATGCTTAATTGGCTAAGTGGGGCATGGGAAAACAAGTGTAGCCAGAGATCCCTGTTTGGCTATATATGGCATTTAGGAAACCAGTGAAGCTGTGAGTGGGGATCAGGTCACATGGTTTGAGTGCTGCTATGAGAAGAGAAGTGTTACCAATCTTGGATCATGCCAAGATGAAGAACAGGTATAGAACAGAGCACGAAAAGGTAGGTGGAAATACAATAAGGAAAATACCTACTCCACTACAATACATTTGAATCAGGATGAGAACAGATCAGGGTACCAACTAGTGATGTTTTTGCTGAAGACACTTCTGCTGAAGCACAGGAAGGCAGGGTAAGCATGTTCTGCTTTTCCTATGAGGTGCAAGCAGAAATCATGGGACACTAACTTCCTTCTCCATGAGGGATTCATAGCAGAACCACTGGAGAACAGAAAAGCATCTTTAGGCAGTAGTAAGGTTGCTGCAACTAATTACATTAAACACTAGCTGATGGTGATTGCATTGCAACATCGTAGATTCAAGACTCAGGCTTAGCTTACCTCTGAATTAGCAACTTCCAAATGCAGGAGGTTGCCTTCGCCCCTTCTTCAGAAGTCAGGTAGCTATTCTGCAAATCTCCCTTAATCAACCATACAGAGTTGTCCCTAGACATCCATCTACACTCTGGAGTACACATACCCTTTCTATCTGCTTTTCGATCTGCTCTACTTCCAGGCAAAGCTTTCTTTCATAATGGAGATCAATATCTTTCCCTATATCACAAGAGGAGATCACAAATCCTATTGGCCTTCATATTTCCAGACTAGAAAGTCTAGTGTTATCTGCCATGGTATGAACTTTTCCATGTTTTTATCTGAAAATTTCATAGGCTGTTTTTATTTTGCTTAAAATATGGCAAAAGAATTATGTGCAGCTTTGCAGATTTGGACACTCTCCATTTCATTTGTGAAAGATGCATTTTACTTGGCATTATAAAACAAACATTCCTCAGGAAAATGGTCCAGTATAATTCTGAGTTATTTCCAATATCACACTGGTAATGGAGACATAGCATTATGTACTATAGTTTTCCTTATTTGAAACTATAGTCCCTTTTCATGATAAACTCACCAGAAAACAGTGACGTTTTTCAGTGTGGGTTTTGAATACAGTCGTAGGATTATTTACTCTGTGAACTCTAAGATACATGCAAGACCCTTATAAAAAAAAACCCTTGACTATGCCAATGGCCTATTTTCTTCACCTACAAAAATTATGCTAATATGTATGTTTCACAACATCTTTCATTTCTGCTTATGTCAATCACCTATTTATTTATTTATTTATTTATTTATTTATTTATTTAGGTTTTTTTCAAGACAGGGTTTCTCTGTGTAGTTTTGGTGCCTGTCCTGGATCTTGCTCTGTAGATCAGGCTGGCCTCGAACGCACAGAGATCCACCTGGTTCTGCCTCCTGAGTACTGGAATTAAAGGCATACACCACCACTGCCCAGCCAATCATTTATTGAATATTTTTTAAGTCTAACAGTCTTTGAAAGCTCACATAGCTAACAAATCAGATGATAGTTTGGCTTCTGATTTTACACTGAAAAGTCACAGAATCAAAGTGATAGAATTCTTCATTAGCAGCCCCACATGCAAAAAGCATACTGTAGAGTTCCATTTCGACCACATGTATACTATTGTGTGCTTGTAGAAATACAGCATGGGTAGTTCTCTAGATCCCTACATGTAGATCTAATGACATCTGTTCTTTCAGGATCCTTTGTCTTTGAACTTGGCAAACTGGTTAAATTCTGGTTAAGTCTAGGTGCAGTTGGATTGGCAAGTCTTCCTTCTTCCATTTATTGATAACTGGTTATAGCCACATCAAAGCCCTGAAATCTTTTTTGTGATTTTTATGGTTGTTATTATTTTTACATCCTGACCAGTTTCCCTTCCCTTCTCTCCTCCCAGTCCCTTCCCCGACTCTGCCCCATCTCCCCACTCCACTCCTCCTCTGTTTCTGTTCAGAAAAGGGCAGGCCTCCTATGGATATCAACCATACATGGCATATCAAGTAGCAATAAGACTAGGCACTTCCCCTCATATTAAGGCTGGGCAAGGCAACCCAGTAGGAGGAAAGGGTCCCAAAAGCAAGCAAAAGAGTCAGAGACAGCCCCTGCTCCCACTGTTAGGAGTCCCACAAGAGGACCAAACTATACAACTGTCACATATATGCAGAGTACCTAGGTCAGTCCCATGCAGGCTCCCTGGTTGTCAGTTCAGTGTCTGTGAGCCCCTATGAGCCCAGGTAGTTGAATCTGTGGGTTTTGACCCCTCTGGCTCCTACAGTCCTTCCTTCCCTCTTCTGTAGGATTCCTGGAGCTCTGCCTAATGTTTGGTTATGGATCTCTACATGTTTCCATTAGTTGCTGGATGAAACCTCTCTGGTGACAACTGGGCTAGGCACCAATCTATGAGCATAGCAGAATAACATTAGGTACCATGACATTGACTTTTTTTTTCTTTTTTCTTTTTTTTTTTTCTAGTCATGTTTGGTTCTATTCTAGGTCTCTGGGCTGTTGAGCTTCTGGGTCTTGGTGCACCAGGCAGTGTCAGGGATAAAAGCCCTAAAATCTTAAGAAATTATATAGTATATGTATACTATATATATGTATGTATGTATGTATTCATATATTTAGAGCTGCTACTGTTTAATTACAATCCACTCATCATGAGTGTAAAATACTGTCTGGAGTATTTTTATCATCTGCTTGATATTTGGAGTGGTTATCTTCTATTTCTTGGTATATTTACTAATACTTAGAACTAATACACTTGAACTATTACCACTAAACTTCTCTAGAATATATACTCTAAGGGAAGAGATGCCTTGTGTTTTTAAACATCTAGAACAGTGTTTGCCACTCATAAGTGTACACACATACATGGTCGTTTATATTAAGTTATATGTCTGTAAAATGCTGGTGGTTAGGATGCATTTAGTTAAAAACCTTTATAACTCTTCTGTTCTTTCATGTCTACTTATAAGCTTTGGCAATGTTCAGTATTAATGCTGCCATTCTTCCTGATGCCATTCTTTTAATAGATAAAGACCTATTCCTTTGTTTATTCATTTCATAGTCATTTTTCTTTAACTTAAAATTTTAACATAGTTACATTATTTCCCCTTTCCCTTTCCTCCCCACCTCCCCCTATACCACTCTCCCCTGTCCCCTTGCTTTCTCTCTTTAAATTCATGGCTTCTGGTTCCTTTTTCCTTACCCTAGACAAAGGCAACTAAAAGATGCTGAGTAGAAGAAGTGGTGTTCCCCAGGGAATACCAAGTGGGCAACCCTGAAATCATATACATACTAGTAACATTATAGGACTGAGCAGGTTGTATTTATATATTTTGAAATATGTAGACTATTATTTTTAATCTCTTTACTTCATTTCATGGTGTTCTAACCATTTTATGTGGTGTTTTAAGTTAATTTAAGAACTCCATTTTCACTTAGAAAGTCTATGAGATATGTCTCTTACAAAGTTATTAATTCAAAGACACTGATGAATTGATGAACAAACCATGTGTTCATTAAGGGCTACAATTTATCTCTGTACCCATCAGTATCTAATCCAACATCTGCCACTAAGTAGGTACCAAACAAATACTGGGTGAATATTTGAGAGAGAGAGAGAGAGAGAGAGAGAGAGAGAGAGAGAGAGAGAGAGAGAGAGAGTTAATGTAGGAGAGCAGAAGGATGGGGGCATCCGTAGAATTGTTTTTGTCCGCCTAAATGCAATATCCTCATTTGCGAAAGCTGAAGGTGGGACTTAGAATTGTTTTCACAATTAGGAGACCTGCCTAGAGGAAGGGGTGGAGCTTAAATAAAACATGGATTTCTGTGTTGATTCAGGAGATGAGACTAGAATTTCACATGCTTAAAATAAGAGCACCAGGTGCAATACAGCTAGTTCTCACTGAACCACACAATCCTCCAGCAATAACATTCTTTGGTTCAAATACTAACTCGCTAGCTGACAGGAAACTTTCTTTTACTTTCAAAGCCCTATTCTGATTTGCCTTTTATCATCCTCACATAGAATTCACTGCCTCAGCCAGAGATGTCTTCGATAGGGAAGCTCTCTGCCCGAAGCACTAAACATCTGAGACTCACACCTGCTCCCTTCATGGATGAGAAGACCTCTTTGTCTCTGGTTAATATCAACCCATTCACTCCAGAGTCCTATAGAAAACTATTCCTTCAGTCAGAGGGCAAGAGGAAAACCAGAGGCGATCTGTAAGTGTCCAGTTCTCTTCATTTCTGAGAATTCCATTGGGCTGGTGCTAGAATAAGATTAGGAATAAGAACTCTACTTGAATGAAACTGAAGTAGTGTGCATGTGTCCCTCATCCCTACATGTCAGTGCTGGTCACAGAAACCTGGGCGTCTTTCCATTCTGATGTGTACTTCAGGGAGCTTTTTGATAAAAGAGTCTGGCAGAGCAAGCAATAGATCTGACTTCCAATAGACAGCTGAATGTGCTAGGGACTGAATTCGATGGACTTGCTTTGGGTAATATGAGGCTAGCGGCTGGGGAGACATTCATATTTCAAACTGTATATTGCTGCTTTGAATTTGGCCTGTGTTACCTGGTGATACTAGTGATGAGAGTTATAGGGCAATTGTTTTAACTTCTCTGTAGGTGATGGAAAACTGAAGAGGGTTAAAAGATAGTGCTGCTTCCAAAGGTGTTAATAAATGAAAAGTCAAAGTACCTTATTCCCTCAAATGCCATAGAATGGAACAGTCACCTAAATAAGTGCATTTTCTTGGGGGCATTAGTTATTTTTGTTACATTTCTCTCTGTCTCTCTGTCTCTGTCTCTCTCTCTCTATCTCTTTTCATTGTGTTCCTGTGTGCATGCACGCATGTGTGTTGGAGGAAACATACATGCCCCAGCACATGACTGGAAGTCAGTGGACAGCTTAGGGAATCAGTCCTGTCCTCCTACCATGTGGATCCTGGGGATTGAACTCAGGTCACCAAGCTTGCTGGCAAGTGCCTTAACCTGCTGAGCCATCTCAATGCCCTTCCCGGATTGCTAACTTAGGGATATTGCTTTACCAGTTTCCCTTGACACTTTGTTTTATATAACAGAAACAGTTCTAAAACGGGGAAGCATTTGTGTCCATACACACTGTGTAGAACACCCAATGCTCCCTTCCCCACTCAGTGAAGGTAGCAGGAAAAGAGATAATTTAGATGAAAGTGGTGATACTGTAGTGGCATCTCTTACTGCTCATGAGAGGATAGCCTTCTCTGGGATCCACTGTGTTGTCACTTTAAGTATCAGGGTGTAGTATTAAGTTTAAGTCATACATGTTCATCAGTTGATTTCATGAACATAGCGTCATTTGCTTGCAATTTCTCCCCTGTATTTCTCTAAAAGAAACTGTCTGGTGTGTCCACTGAAATCTTGCCTATAGACCCAGAAAATGGCTCATGCAAAGAAGGATGTTTGCGAATGACTTCTTATTGCAAATTGAAGACCTCTTAGGCAAAATTATATTTCTGCTCTACTCAATGTCTGTGTACTGCATTGAAAGCTGGGCTCTGACAGGGGCAGTGTTGGAAAGAGAACATAGTGTGGTTGTGAAGGAAAAATGCCTTGAGGTTAGACTTGGTTTAAAATCCAAGTTCTTCCACTTGCTAATTGTCGAACACAGAGTGGTTTAAGTTCTCAGTAAAATCTAAGTTCTTCCACTTGCTAACTGTGGAATAGAGAGTGGTTTAATGTCTTAGTAAAAGCCAAGTTCTTCCACTTGCTAACTGCGGAACACAGAGTGGTTTAATGTCTCAGGTTTGGTTGGCTCCTTTGGGGAAAACAGCACCTACATTTAGTTCAGTGCTCTTCCTTGCTTCTGGGTCTTAGCACAGGGTTTCTCAACCCGTGGGCCACAACCCTTTGGGTTGAATGACCCTTTCACAGGGGTCGCATATCAGATATCCTGCATATTTACATTATTCACAACAATAGCAAATTACAGTTCTGAAGTAGCAACGAAAATAATTTTCTGGTTGGGGGGTCAGCACAGCACAAGGAGCTGTATTAAAGGGTCACAGCATTAGGAAGGTTGAGAACCGCTGTCTTAGCATATGGTAGTCTAATTACCTGAAATGTCCACCCCTTTCCTCCGTCAGTTCCCATTCCTTCTTGCAATCTTAGTTTACATGTTCTCTTCGGGGAAAGCCTTTTGCCCTCTTGAGATACTCACATAACTGGTGCTGTTCACAGTCTCTCCCAATGCTGTTATCCTGTCTTAGGCTCATGTGTTAACTTTCTAGGTTATCTCTACTCAATGTAAAGTGAACCTAAAGTGAAGAGGGGAAGGAATTAATTTCCTTACAGCCACAGAACTTATCCCAATACCAGCCTCAGTGAGTGTGTCAATGAGACATAATCTTTAATCATTCTTGCTCTAACCTTTTCCTTTTAGTGAGGAAACTGGAGAAGGGGGAAGCAAATCGGAACAGTGGCTGCCTGCTAAGGTGAGCGTGGTCTTTTGGTCCAGTAGTCACAACATCCTATTCATCGTCTGTTTCTGCCTCTCTGTCTGCTTCCTACCCTTCTTGTTTTCTCTTTTTCTTCCTCCCTCCCTCCCCTCATTCTTCCCCCTACTCCCTCACTTGCCCCTCATGCTGCTTTTCCTAACCTCTCACTCTTTCCTCTACCCCTTAATCCCCTCCACCCCATTCTTCTCTACCCCATCCTTTTCTCTCCTTCTTTCTCTCCCTTTCTCCTATTCTTTCTTTCATCCCCTCTCTTTCCCTTCCTCTCTCTGTCTCTGTCTGTCTGTCTGTCTGTCTGTCTGTCTGTCTGTCTCTCTCTCTCTCTCTCTCTCTCTCTCTCTCTCTCTCTCTCTCTCTCTCACACACACACACACACACACACACACACATATTTTATGGCTTTAGCAGTTTGTGTTGCAGCATAATTTACATCTAGATTATCAGTTATATTAGCAAGCAGTAGCTAATATGTACATTGCTAAGTTATTAGATAATTCTTAAAAGTTTCTATTTCTGCTTTTAATTTGGGGAAACCTTCTATACTGGAGTAGAGACGGAACAAGAAAATTAAGCTACTTTTATTTCCCAAATCAAAAATGGAAATGGAAAAAGTGATATTGGTACAGAAATTTTTATGTAAAAATTTAGCTGTTAAACGCATCCTTATTTGTTCATTTTTGTGATATTCCCCATATGGTAATATAACCTATCAAATTAATATTATAAACATTTGCCTCTGAAATGTTTCTCACATCTGGATTGCAGTTGCTGAAAGCTGCAGAAGGCACTGAATGCCCAATAATAGAAGAATGGCTAGGTTAAATATAAAGTCAGTAGGATATTAAATTGCTCTTAAGGTGTTTGCAAAATGTGGCAACATACCTCTTATCATGTATTCAGTGTGCAAAACTCGAAAATGTATATAATGGTTACACACATCACTCACTAATCACAGAGTCAGATGTTGCAGCGACAGCTGTTATTTCAATGCCTTTGAATGGCAGAAACCACACGGTTGTTCTCACTTCTAATTACCAAACTTTTTTTGAGCAAATCTTATTCTCATAAGTAAGTTAATCGTTTCCCCATTTTTTTCCTTTCTCTCTTTCCCTGTCACCCTCTCTTCCTTGGCATGGGGTTTCTCATAGCCCAGGCTAGCCTGGAATTTATGATCCTCCTGCCTCTGCCTCCTGAGTGCTAGGATTGCAGGTTTGGACATCACACTCCAATGGAGGTGGTATTTGTAAATGGCGGCACTTGGCTATTGTAACTGCCACAGAGAAGGCTGTGGGCATGGGCTTTGAGTTTTCACATGTGAACATCCCCACTGTGCCTTCCACTGCTTTTTCCTCTGAATTTTATTCCTCGTTTGTTTTATAAGTCACTAACTGGCTTCTGATAGAATGCCAAATATATTCATTAAATGGGGAAAATAGATCTATACATAAGTCCCTGGCCAGGAGAAACTAACATGTTTGAAGTATCAAAAGGATACACACAAAAATATAAAGCAAAAAGATACCGTTATCTGTATGAACCTATACGTGAACTTGTGTATGATGTGTAAATGTATGTAATATTTAAGGTCTGCAAGGGTAGTAAAAATAATCCTTGTAGAAAACAAAATGGTAGAACAAATATGTATAAAGATAATTCTAGGCAAAGAAAAGAAGTAATTTATAATGTTCCGAAAGCAGGGGAATGGATCCTGTGTAAGAGTGTGGGTTGGGCAGTTGAGTGGCTGGCAGTGGTGTGGACATCGAGCTGGCCTGTTTGGTAGCTATAGGGTGGCCAAAGTACTCAGTGTCAGTTGATAGGAGGGCTTTGGGTCTGTTGTCAGAATTTAACTTTCTCTTGGGAAACAACTAGGCTTTTAATTCTGCAGAACCATTTTGCAAAATTGTTCTTACTAGAGGAGTTGGGAAGAGAGCTGATGATGGAGGCAAATCCAGATATGGAGGAATCAGAGCTTAGGATTACCTAAGGGCAAAGGAAATTACAGGTCTTGCTGATAAAGACTGATTGGAATTAGATGCAAAAATGATCAAGTCATAGTCAAGATTTTTTTTTAATTTGCTAAAGTTAGATGAGAAACATTCTTGCTAATTGGGGCATTAAAAAATATGATGTTGGGGAGAGAAATCATCTTAAATTTAGATTCATGTGTAGTAGAGATTTTGATCATAATACTAGACTGTAAAATTTCCACGTGTATACATTATACTAAGATAACTGTGATATGTTGATATATATTGTATCAACACATTATATACAATGTATATATATATACATAAACATATGTCCAATGACTTATGTAACAAAACATTGTATATATATTATCACATAATATTAATGTATCCTGAGAAGTCATTGTTATGATCTTCATCTTACAGACAGAAAACTGAGGAGTTCTATGATTTCCCTGGGTTGATTTACAAGTTGGAAAATGAGTGATAGTAACAGCTGGCCACTAGGGGGAGGTAATGCTGAGCACATGAGATGGATTAATTTAATCCATTGGACAATTTTGTTTCCCAGACTAAGACTTCTATGAAAACAAATTGAAACAAGAAAATTTATTCAACTTGAGGTGAAAATTCAGCACCCAAGCCTTGATAAAGGTAGAGAGTCAAAAGGAGGTGTTGGTATTGTTTGGGCTTGCTCTGAACATGCTTCAACTGTTTCCTGTTAGTGCTTCAGCTGAGGACAGTGGTTCTGGGCTTCAGAAGCTGTGGGTCTCCCATCAGAATAGTCTGACCAGATGGAGGAAAGAACACTTAAAACAATGTGACCAGGGTCAGTACTGACTTGTATGTAAGGTTACAAAGGACACAGGCGTGGCCAGCCATTGGCAAAACTCTTTGCTACCACGATTACCAGCATAAAGAGAACCCATTGCATTCGCCTCACATTTTAAAAAGCAATTTAGGAAATGTAATGTAGCTCTGTTTTATTGTTCATGGTATATAGGGAAACTTATTCCCTCTCTCTTCTTTAAATATTTTAGAGAAGTGTTCTACGAGAAACTAACATGGCTTCCCGCTATGAAAAAGAATTCTTGGAGGTAGAAAAAATTGGGGTTGGGGAATTTGGTACAGTCTACAAGTGCATTAAGAGGCTGGATGGATGTGTTTATGCAATAAAGCGTTCTACAAAACCATTCTCAGGAGTATCAAATGAGTGAGTACCTAAGAAAAGCACTGGATGAGCAAACTTGGATTTGATACTGTATTGATTCTCAAAATAGTTTTAAAAAGAGTACCACCGATATCAATAAAAACATCCCATTTGCTTGATTTTAAATTTATCTCCACCATTGGATATCATTTTACATTCATAGCTTTACTGAATTGTCCAGAACACCAATGGCATTTCCTGAAATAGAGCATGATAACTTCAGATCATGTTGTTGTTTGTAGTTATAGAATCTCACCATTTAACTTTGGCTAGCCTAGAACCCACTAGGTAGACCAGGCTGGCCTTGAGCTCAGACACCTGCCTGCCTCCACTGGGATTAAAAGCATGCACTACCCCACGCATAGCATTGTTATTTTAATTTCTTAGCTTTTCTGTCTACTGGTCTTACTGCCATTCTAAGGAATTGGATTTTGGAATGGTCTCCTGGTACCTATTCATGTTCATCTGAAATGCTGTCAGACAGGAAATGCTATCAGTAGTTTATCTCTACTTTGAACTCTTCTACTTTACGTTTTGCAGCTATAATAAACACCAAGACGAAAAGCAATTTGTGGAGGAGGAAAAGGTTTATTTCATTTTATGCTTCTAGGTCACAATCCATCATGGAAAGAAGTCAGGGCAGAGACAGGAACTATGAAGGCACACTGCCTACTGGCTTGCTCTCAGCATGCTTTCTTCTACTTGTCTAAAGTTGGTACCTCCCACAGTGGGTTGGGCCCTCACACCAAATATCAAGCAAAACAATCTGTCACAGACATGGCTGTAGGCCTATCTGATTTATATATTCCCTCTTCCTAGGTGGCTCTTATGTCAAGTTGACAGTAAAACTACCCAGTACATGTACTAATAATTAATTTGGTAGTGAAGTTTGATACTTTTTGCAAAGAAAAATCATTAGGAATGTTGATATTTAACTCCCAGAACTGTTCATCCTTTCTTATGATATAAGGAAAAACATATTTTCAGATTGAGGAATGCTTTTGTGAGCTCCTTTCATCCATACTGACCATGCTGAGCCAGATATTACAGGCTTTTGTTTTTATATTGATGCCAATCAAGGACAGAATTAGCTTTTCTTTTGCACAATGCACATGTCTCCCAAGGCTTTTCCCTATAACCCCTCAGATTGGCTGAGTTTGATAATGGCACTAATGACTATCTAGCCTTCACGGAGGAGATAGTTCCATCAGAGCGTCTGCAATCAAGTGTGTGATGGCCTTCTTATTATAATAGGCACAACACGATGCAATGTGCACTGTGAGGCAATAAAATTAAGACCCAAAGCATATCTGCTCTTGAGAGAGTAAGCACATGAGGTACCTCTATATATGCCATGTTCAATGAATAAAGCATGAACTTTGGTACCAGGTTGACCAAAGTTCTGCTCTTAGGTCTACTAGTACCAGTTTCACCTTGGACCAGTCACTTACTCTCATCATGTTTTCCAATGTATCTTACCAAGAATCTAAAAAGACTGAATAGATAAAATACTAAGCATACAGCAGGCCCTAGAAAAATATTCTGTTATTTTTAGTGCCTCCCATGATTCCCTTAAAAAAATCTTTTAATCTCTATTATCTCAATTAATTTTTCTAAATGCTTTTTTATCCCTTGGGAGTTTGGATTTGCATGAAGTTTATGCTCATGCAGTGCTTGGCCATCACCCCCATGTGGTACGCTACTATTCTTCATGGGCAGAAGATGATCACGTGGTCATTCAGAATGAATACTGTAATGGTAAGTATGTAGATTAATACAGAGAAGGGGGGTGAACTTTTTAACTTTAACTTTTTAAATCTTTGTAAATAAATCTACCTCCTCCCAGTTTAAAGTTTAAGCCTTTACATACCGGAGTCACACTGAAGATGCTTGTGCTTGGAAGCAGAGATAAGAACAGTGTTGAAGAGGAGTGTGTGTGTGTGTGTGTGTGTGTGTGTGTGTGTGTGTGTGTGTGTGTTTGTGTGTGTGTTTCACACAAAGCTAGTATAGCTCATAAAAAAATGCTATTAATCCCTTCACAGTTTAATCTTATATTGAAAGAAAAAAGTTACCATACTAGTTTAAATAATTCTGTTGCCATCTACCAGGGACCTGGAAAGGTATAAACCATACCATTTGGGGGAATGTTGGAATAAAGGTTCCTAGTTATAGTTGGTTTAGTAAAGGCTTTAACTATTTCATGTATTTTTCCATGGGTCTCTGAGTTTACAGGTCTTTCATATTTTTTGCTGCTTCAAACTTTGGATCTTAATTGTCCTCACGACAGTATAGGCAATGGGATAAGTGCTGTGACCAAACTTGGTACTTTCAGATATATTTTTCATAAATTGAGTAAAGTCTGCCCTAATTTTAGGGCCAGCAAGACATACTCTGACCATAGAATGTTTGAAAATCCTCCTTGCCCCAGCCAGTTTGAGAGTGTCTGTCTGCCTTCAGGTACTTTTAGTGCACACTTGAAGGCCTCAGGTGTAGTTGTCCGGCCTGGCCTTGGAGTATAGTGACTGGTAACAAAACTTCTCTAGGAGGCAAATAAGTGAGTAAATAATGTTGTGAAAGGCCAGGGAATGACACACACATCTTTCAAAACAACAACTTGGCATTTCTCTTATTGTTTCCTTATAGAAAAAATTGTTTAGCCTTAACCTATGGTCTTTGCAGGCCTTGTCTTTTTTTTCCTCTTCTAAGCTCACTATCACCCCCTTTTGTTCTTAGTCTTTGGGGAGGTGCAGCCTTTCTCTATGCTTATGATTAAGGCTTTTCTTAATCACCTTTTCTCCCCAACTCCCTCATATTAAAACCTGAAGCACCCTACTTTTTTTTTTTTTGGTTTTTCGAGACAGGGTTTCTCTGTGTAGCTTTGCGCCTTTCCTGGGACTCACTCTGTAGACCAGGCTGTCCTCGAACTCACAGAGATCCGCCTGCCTCTGCCTCCCGAGTGCTGGGATTAAAGGCGTGCGCCACCACCGCCCGGCAGCACCCTACTTTTTTCTCCTCCCCCCCTTTCTAGAAGGAAAATTGGTTTGATTTCCATGATTTTTTTTGCTGTTAGCACAGATATGAAATAACAAAAATTAACTAACACAGTAAAATGTTAATACGATGTAGAGTCGATGAAAAAGTTCCCCAAACCGCAAAACTGGCCAGATGGGGAGGCTGCTTCGATCAAATCACCTTTTACTTCATTCCAGCATTTTCACACCTTCCCTAAGGCTGACACTCCACTAAACTCTAGGTAGAGTAATACCTGAGACCGAGATGGATAGGAAAATCCTTCAAGATGCTTTGCTCCACTCATTCTGTGAGAAGAACTGCATAACTGACAATCTGGTGCAAAGCTGTCTGGTACAGACATGGGTAAAGAAGCAGAGAGGGAAATATGACAGGATACTGGAAGGGGCCTAGGTATTCAAGTTGAGAAGACTTGGATTTACAGCCCAACTCTGATGCTTACTGCTTGTATAACTAATTATTGGAATGTCACTCAAAATTAGTGCATAAATGGATGGTAATAGTTATTACAGAAGTAATTTGAGAATTGACAACAGCACATGAGAAATATTAGCAGAGACTCAATACCTGATGCATAATAAAAAAAAAGATCAGCTCCAGATTTCATAAAGGAGGCAGGACTTGAATTAAAGCTTGCAGAAGAATTACTAGAGTTTAGGAAATCAGAGGGAAGACATCCAGTTGTTGGAGCATCAGGCAGGCTAAAGGCAAAGAACTGAGAGTGGGTCTAGCCTAACAGACAGTAGGAGACCCAACATGGGTGATCCTTGTGGTGGGAAATAATATCAGCAAGATAAAAGATAGGGATACTATATAGGACTTTAAAAACCAGGCAGTGGCCTTCAGGTTAGAAGTAGGTAGGTTACAGGTTGCATGGAATTGCTTCATCATACTGACCCATTGCCTTCACAGGGTGCTCATTCAGTGATGTAACTGATTTTGCAATTTGTAATTCTTACAGGTAGAGCCTTTCCAAGACCTCCTTCCTCCTCCTTCCTTGGCCCCACCCCTTACTTTTCCTTCCCTCTCATTTCATTCTTTTCATCCCAGGCCTTCCATTGCTCATCTCCTAACCTGTCAAAGCAGTCAGACTGGGGCATGGACAGTTGCGATTTTAATTTAGGTGACACCATACGTGATTTGGAGTCTTACACATATATATTAGATGACTATTAGTAGAGACCCACTGTCATAGAATTTTCCCTGTTGTCCATCTTAAGCCTGAACCAATCAGATGTCCTCTCCTTCTCCTTGATCCTTGTCAAGATGCCTTGAAAGTCACCTCTGGATGAGCCTAGACAGCTAAAATGTCTCCAATAGATTCAACAGCCCCCAGGATTTCAACTAATTTGGAGTTTGATTATTTATCTCTCTGTAATGACAATATTTGTGAATCTGACATCTTCTGTCATTGAAATTCCATAAAGCCAACTCCTGATCCTACTTGTTAGAATACTATGACACATCAGGGTCAGGGTCAGCATGCACTGTGGAGTGCCATACATGGTTGTATTTTTTCACTAAACAAGGAACAACTCTGTCAGTAGAAAATTACCAATATTACCGACAGCACTATAAAATGATATCGTGAGGATATGCAAGTCTGAATAAAATATTCCATTGAATTGTTAACCTGTTTTCTACATCTTATTGTTAGAAGTTATTTGCTCTTTATTTTGTTTTGATATTTTTAGACACTGTTGGCAGAGAGAAAAACAAGTACCTTTTAAAGATGTTCTTTTTGCCAAGGGGTAAAGTGCTTTTGATTTATAATCACAAGGACAAGCTGCACATGGCAAAACATGCTTTCCATAGAGGCACATGAGTAACAGCAGCTGAAGTCAACTCACTCCTATCCGCTACACCTGAAAGGAGCTCAAAAACACGTTCCAAGAACAAGTCTGTGTTTTGAAGAAACTGAGGTCACAAGACTCTTGTTTTCTTGGAGTTTTCTCACAATTACTCAGAATTCTCACACGACTCCATTCTTGGACCATGTTCTGAGAGAGGTCCTTGACTTACTTGCTTTCTCTGTTGCCAGGGTAAACATCTAATTCAGAAAATTAGATTCCTATGTAGGAATGCCCAGACTGGCTGCAGCCAATAGAGTTCTCCTGGATGCAGCCCCCTCCTCCTTGTTGACATGTAATAACCTCACCTACAAATTCAGTTTCACAGTAACTTCATTTTTAACAAAATTGAAAGTATTTGCTTTCCTTACACAAATCCTTCTTCTAAGATTCCTAGAGAAATAACCTTTTGCCATCTCCTTGTGTGTGTTGAAAAGGGGTGGATTTTTCTTACTAAATGTACTTATTTTAGCATGACAAATTGGCCTTTAACTTTACATGGGATACTTTTAAGTACAGATGTTCCTAACACTCTATTATTTTCAACCCTACTGTTGCACACTGGAGTGTAGTTTTGTACCTGCTAATGGGAGCCAGAACTCTAATTCATTAAACAAAGTGTTCAGAAAATATCTAACACCTTAGGATGTGTGTCCAAGCCCAGGAATGGCATATGAACTCAGGACTTACATTTTGTTGATGACAAAGATAAATCAAGATAGTCTACACCCAATGTACAAATACTGAGGTTGAAACAGGATTCAGGCATATAAAGAGCTTTTAAATTTTCTTTGAGTCACAACCATTAAGCTTCTAACTTTATGATCTATCATTAATGGAATAAGAGTCACAGTGAAATTACTAATGCTCTATAAATACTAGTCTGACTTTGACATGGGATCGATTTAAACACCAACAGTAACTACCCAAGTTGGCTTGATTGTCTTATGGCTAATAATTAGGTAGAACTTTTAAAACGTTAGTTGTCACATACCTGAGGCAGGGGGTTACATATTATATCTCTGGCCATATGTTAAGAACCTAGAATCTTATTTTCTTCATTCAAAGTCCTGAAATCCTAACATCTATGGCACTGTCCTGGGACTGATACTGTGTGCTTTGTGCTGACACGGAACTGAGATTTGTTCAAGTCTCTCATGATCATCTCCTGTGCCTTCTCTGCCTGTGAGCCTCATATCTGTTTCTTCTCTGTCGGCTTGTTCTCTACAATTCCTGCCCAGGTGGGAGCTTGCAGGCTGCGATATCTGAAAATGCTGCATCTGGCAATCACTTCCAAGAGCCCAAACTCAAAGACATCCTCCTCCAGGTCTCCTTGGGACTTAAGTACATCCACAACTTTGGCATGGTACACCTGGACATCAAACCCAGTTAGTATTTTTTTCCTGTCTATATTCCTTCCAGTGTTTATCTTTTATATACCATTGTGAAAATGTGCACTTGTGTACGTACTTTCACTCTCAAAGATAGTATTGTTAGAAGAATTACTTTCTTCCATTCATTTCCCATAGCAAACTCAGTCAAATATCTTTAACCATTTCCTCCTTGAGTCAGGGGACACAAGGGGAAAAGACATTTTCTCATATAGAGCAAAGACAGAAAACTAGGTGTTTAATTTACCACATAGAAAACTGACAGTGTGTCAACTACATTCTGATTGTGTTTGTAACTAGTACTGTATTTTCTCTAAGTCAGCCCTGATCAGAGTGAACAGAATGAATGTGTTAATCACTTTTCAGTGTGAAACCTAAGGAGAAGTTATTATTTTATGGGTTTTATTTATTTTGAGACAGCATGTAACCATGCTCTTCAGAGGATAGGGACTATATGAAGTCAGTCCGACTTAAACAAGTGTTATCCATCCATCACTGGCTGTTCTGATCTGACGTAAGAGATTACATAGAGCCGCATATGTGCACCCAGGAGGCAGATGTAGGCTGATCTCTGTGTGTCCAAGACCAGCCTGACCTACATAATGAGTTGCAGAGCTACACAGTGATACAGAGATAGGGAATTTGAGCGTCACACACACACACACACACACACACACACACACACACACACAGAGAGAGAGAGAGAGAGAGAGAGAGAGAGAGAGAGAGAGAGAGAGAGAGAGAGAGAGAGAAAGACTATATAGAAAAAATAAAATTCAAAGATTAGTAGTCACTCCACAACTACACCAGAGGAGAAAAGCTGCAAGGTCATGGCCACGAAAGGCTCTTTGTGGGGTGGGAGCTCAGAAATCATTACTTATGTCTACTCTGTTTTTTTCAGGTAACATCTTCATTTGTCATAAGATGCAGAGTGACTCTCCTGTAGGCCCAGAAGAGGCTGAGAGTGAGGCTGACTGGTTTCTTTCTGCCAACGTGATATATAAAATTGGTGAGTCTGCTTCTACCCCATCTGCATATTACTCTGTAATTAAGCTGACGACTACATTTACTCCATCTCCAAGAAAGCCATGTTCTTTAAAACAGCCTCTCTTTCCTTTTTAAAAGGTGACCTGGGCCACGTGACATCAATCAGCAAACCCAAAGTGGAAGAAGGAGATATTCGCTTCCTGGCTAAGGAGATCCTGCAAGAGGTATAAGTCAGGGAAATGGGAGGGGGAATCTTTTTTTTTTTTTTTGTCATTTTAAAAATTTTTTTTGACACAGAATCTTGCTATGTTGTCCAATACGGCTGCCGCAAACTTGTGGCCTTCTGTCCTTAGTTTCCCAAGTAGCTGAGACTATGGATGTGCAATGAATTTTATAATTCATTCAACTGTTTGACTCTCAGATGAAGGCTCATGGTGCCCCAAATGAAGAGTATATATCTGTAATTCAAACTAATAAAGTCTTTTTTTTCCGTTCAGAATAGAGATCAAATACAGTAAAGAAATTCTCCCAAAGCATAGGAATGTTTGCCCTGACCATGGGCCAGACACAAAAACTCTAACTACAAACACCATCAACAATGAATCAATATTTACATAGTTCCTTCTAAAGGTCTCTCACTGTTTCTAGTATTTCTTAGAATTCCTAGCCTAGTGGGTTGCATAAGAGAAAGGAAACCCTCTCTTCATGGTCATGTTGTCTTTATCATGTTATGTTCTTGATAACCCACCAGCTCTGATCACTAAAATGACTGTTAGTAGTTGCCCATCTTCTAGGATTCCTGTTGAGTCTGACCTAGCAAGACTATAACTTCCTTCAGGGGAAAAAGTCTTTTCTTATGATCAGCTAATTAAGCCTCAGTGAATCTGACAGAACAAAATGATGCTGAGATTCTACCCTAGGCTTTCAGGGCTCAGCAATATTACTAAGGTTTGTTTATGTTCCCTTTAGCTTCTTAGGTATAAAGCATCAACTACAGTAAATATAACTATGAAATGGTATTGAGAGCTTATGTGTAATCAGACCTCTGCCAATCACATTTTAGACTCACTCTGCTTGGCAGACTAACTGATCTTCCTGTCTTCTGTTTTGTAGAATTATCAACACCTTCCCAAAGCAGACATATTCGCCTTGGGGTTAACAATTGCAATGGCTGCAGGAGCAGAGTCATTACCCATTAATGGTGACATGTGGCATCATATTCGCAAGGGGAACTTTCCAGACATTGTCCAGGAGCTCTCAGATGACTTTTATGGTCTACTCAAGGTGACACCTCTTATGAGATGAAATGAAGATGAAACATCTGTATTTTAAGTGTGATGACAAGTATGATGGTTGTGGAGCGGGGGTTAGGTAAATATGAATTTGGTTAGGGTCATGTGTGAACATGAAGGAGGAAGGAAGTAGAAAGTTCAGATAAGACAGGGCACATTGAAACTGTTTTTAAAGATTTATTATGTATACAGTGTTCCTTCTGCATGTGTGCTTGCAGGACAGAAGAGGGCACCAGATCTCATTACAGATGGTTGGGAGTCAGCATGAGGTTGCTGGGAGTTGAACTCAGGACCTCTGGAAGAGCAGCCAGTGGTCTTAACCACTGAGACATCTCTCCAGCCCCAGACTGAAACTTCTTATGGAAACTTAACTTCTACAATACCCTCATATGGACACTTTTTATTTGTTCCTAGCAACCTCCCCAAAATGGCAGGTGGCACATCTTTCTGCAGCAGAGGAAACTCAAACTCAGAGGGGCTCTTGTATTCAGTTAATAATTGGTAATTCTAAATTCCAGCCTCGTCTTTCCCCTCCAACATCAGGGTATGCACTGTTGTCAATGGCCAATGATGACAAAATTTTCTAAAAGAATCACTTCACGAGTATCTTTAAAAGTATAAGCAACTTTTTGGTAACTGGCAATACCACTTATTTGAGGTATTGGGGGAAAGGCATAATGTCAATTGAAAAATTTGTGATATTCATTTTTATAGATAAGTATGCAGAAGGATAACAAAGGGGAGTATTAGATTGAAACAGAGAGCTACAAAAGCAAAACACAACAAACAGCTCCAAAACCAGACCTCAACAACCTTATACTACCAAGAAGTTTAGAGTTGCCCCCCACCCTCAAAAAATTCATGGGTTAGAAAACAAGGCTGGTTAGGGTCCCCAACATTGCTTTAGAAATACCTACTTCCTTGAACATTAGAGTTCTATTTTTGACCTACAAATTTCAAATGTAGTTACTGATTCTTCCTTCTACTTCCATTTTTCTGTCCTGGAAAGAGGAAAACCTTCCCTTTGTTCCTTTGCCGACAGCCTAATCATTCATTCATTCATATATGTATATATACACATATATCTTATGTGTAAATGAATCTTAGATTTAGCTCATATTTACTAGGTGCCTAAATGCTAGCCCTGTGCTATATATAGATATACATATATATATATGTATATATATACTATATAATTTATGTTAATTGACTTCACCCTCACAACATCCCCAGAAAGAGATTAGCATTATCCTGGATTTCAGATAAAATGAACTGTGATGTAGTTATAGAGTAAATGGTGGTGCTTGCTCTGAATGTGGATCCCAAATAGGGAAAGTTCAGTGTATTTGTCATCCTGTGACACCATTAATTACATACCTAGAGATGCTGATATATTAATCACAGGCTAATACCCACAATATGCAAGTCATCTTAGGCTACAGATCTCCTCTGCCTGGAGATAAGTATTTCAGAGTTATTAAGGGATAAAGGAGTACAAAGCAGTGGAAAGTATTCTGAACTGAGTTGGGTGAACTTGGAACTGAGTTGAGTGAACTGGGTTTTGGACTTGGCCTTTCCTATAACTTAGACATAGCTCCTGTTTTTCCCTTCATAATTAAAATGTTAGACTAGTAAATCAGCAAACCAGCTAGCTTTCAAACACGACAATTAAATCCAAGTCATAAGTACAGACAAATGATGTTACCAGACATGGGCGATCCTTCTGTTCAAGGTGGAACAAAGCTTTCACTGAGGAAAAGCAGTTTCACAACACTCAGCAGTACATGTTGAACTGAAGTTGGATTGAATGGGGAGATGCTGCCTCTATCGAAACTTCTGTTTCTTTCCATGGCCCTAAATCTATCTTTAGAACATGATCCACCCTGATCCAGAGCAGAGACCTTCAGCAGCAACTCTGGCCAGAAGTCGAATTCTCCGGCCCTTTATGGAGAAAACAGAGGAACTCCAGAAGCAACTGAACTTGGAGAAGTCCAAGATAGCCACACTGGAAAGGTACAGTTGGTTGTTGAGTCAAGAAAGGGTCTGTTTGAACAACTCACAGTGGTCTGACTGGACTGGTGTGTCTCTATGGATTCAAGTCTATGCACATTCTATATCATCAGACTTAGGCTCTGCCCACAAGAAGCCTGGCAATGTGCTATGTTTTATGGCATGGGACTCTGCAGCTCTGTGACTAGGCAGCTTAAGAGAAGTCCAGGTAATGCAAAGGAAGCAAGAGGAAAGCTACAAAGAAACCCCAATGATAAGGGAGTCCTTGGACTCTGAGGGACAGCAAGTATCAAAGTAGCTGCTTGCTGGTCACCTAATATAATCTTAGCCAAGTAGCGGTCTGTTTTAGGGTCTTAGGTGAACAGAGAACCTTCTTTAGAAAGCACTAAGCTCCAAGGACAGAAGGCAGACATTGGATCCTGATAACATATGTAGAGGATTATGTTTTTCTGAGCAAAGGAGGCAATCTGATCTCTGGTTGATGTAAGCTCGTATTCATTTATTAATTTACTCCTTCATCAAACAAACAGGAATTAGTTTGGGTGTGGTTGGAAGAGGTCATGCAATGATATTTAAGTAGAAGTTTGAAGGAATTCTTAGTTGATTATTGCATCATATGTACACTATTGAAAATAAAAAGAAGAAAATTAAATATGATCCTTGCTTGACATTTGCCTAGCAATCCTGTAGCATGAATCTTAGAGAGTCTTATTAATAAAATCAAACCTGAGGCAAGTTATTGGGGTGAAATGCTGGACGGTCAGAGTACCAGAACAAGCCACAGCTATCTCACCTTGCCAATTCCTCAGCTGGTCCTGTTTCCTCAGTCTGGAAGCTTCTGTGTCCTCATCCCAATGGCTCTCAGCTGAACTGCTGCTAGAAGCCTGAATGCTTAACCAGCCAAAATGCTTAACCAGGCCAAATGCTTCTAGTTTCTGGTCCTCACGCCTTATAAACCTTTCTGCTTTCTACCACCACTCCCTGGGATTAAAGGCTGCTTTCTGGGATTAAAGGCGTGAGTCACCATGCCTGGCTGTTTCCAATGCAGCCTTGAACTCACAGAGATCCAGAGGGATTTCTGTCTCTGGAATGCTAGGATTAAAGGCGTGTGCTAACATTTTCTAGCCTAAGTATCTTGTGACTTTTCTGTTCTCTGACCCCAGATAAGTTTATTAAGGTACACAATATTTTGGGGAACACAATACCACCACACAGTCCAACTTTGTTTAGCTGCAGTCTATCTTGGAAGGATTCACCTGAAAACTTCAATGGTCACTAAACCCGTGTTTTGGTTCTGAGCTGCAGAGACTCTCAGCCTTTAGGCAGGTAATCAGTTATGCCCAATAAACCACTTCATAGTTTTTGCTCTTTTTGAGTTTCATTGTTTCAGGTAATAAACCACAAAATACCAATATATGTTGTTGAAAAAGATGCAAATGTCTGCGAAAGTGTGTATACATATTCTGTGAGCCTAAGCTGGAGGTACAAGTGACTGATGTCGTTGAATGCAAATGATCATAGAGATCATAGAGATAGGGCAGATGGCATCTTGAAACTGTCTGAACAGTAATTCTCAACCTTCCTAATGCTTGAGACCCTTTAATACAGATCCTCATGTGGTGGTGACCCCCCAACCATAGAATTATTTTCATTGCTATTTCATAACTAATTACGAATTCATAACTACTGTTATGAATTTTAATTGAATATCCGTGTTTTCCAATGGTCTTAGGTGACTCTTGTGAAAGGGTCATTTGACCCCCAAAGGGGTCATGCATGACCCATGGTTGAGAACTGCTGGGCTAGATTAATCGGTGATAAACTTGTTCTGTAAAGGATTAGCTATTAAATGGTTCATGCTTTGTATGATTTCTCCTGTAATGATTCAACCTGTCACTGATGAGTGAAAACAACCACTGAATATATATTATATATAGTATGTATGTATATCAGATAAAAATAATTAACTGTGTTTCAATAAGATCTGTGGTTTGTTGCTCTCACAGTTCTTATATTTTGCCTAAAGAGTTGTTCACTTAGAATTTTAATGTTAAAGGTGATTTATGAACAATGCATGTATCAACCTTTTTAATGATAGTAAGAATCATTAGAACTGATTCTTCTATTCTGCATATAGCTCGGGCTTGACTTTGTAAAACTGAAATAAAAAGAGCGATTAGCTGTGATTATAAATACTACCTCTAACTAGGGAAGAATTTACCCATGCCTGTCCCCTCTGATTTCAGGGAACTGATAAAAGCTCAGCAAATCCAGACCCCTCAAAGACATATCCACCATGGTGGGTCTCAGAGATACATCGACCATGGTGATCCTGGGACCTCTGGGACCCATGAAGACTCAAGAAGCACAAGAGACATGGTAGGAGGAATGAGTGCAGAGTCCTCAAGATTCACCTGTGGGAAATTCTCCTTATAAGCACTCACTTCTTACCAGCTAGCCTTTTGTCATACAGCCTTCAGAAAATGTACAGGATGCAAGGATGAACCAGCTTGAATGCACAAGGATTTCAAAAGCCATCCAATGTATAGCATCTATAGGCAAGGTTACAAAGCTTCTAGGGTTTCTTAGCAATGCTCTCACATCTTCCCTATTGTCATATTTCTAGTGCCATTTACTGAGGGTTTCTGGTGAATAATGAGAAAACATGCCTCATCATTGAAAGAGGAACAGAAACACTATTTTGGCCCATGGACCAGGAAGCTGCCATAACTTATTCTTCACTGACGATCCAGGGAACTTTCTCTGTACATAGAAAGGAATAAAATACAGCTTTAAGTACCAGCTCACAAGAGAACGTTGCCCATATTTCAGCAGTGTTTCCCAAGTTGTATCCATTCCTACAACTGCCAGCCCCTTCGAGCAGGGAGTTTGCCTAGTATGTTTTCTGGATGGAAGCAATCTCTCATCTGATTTTGTATTAGTAAATAAAAGGCTATTGTTATATGAAACAATTAGAAGTAAGACTATAATGTGGACATTCCTGAGCTGCTTATTAACTTCTGAAACAAAATCAGCAGAGGCAGAGGGCTTGGGGAAGTTTGATATACCTGCTCCCCATGTGTTCTAGCCCTCCTGTGGCTGTTCTCCACGTCCTAGTCTTTTGAGTTTTTGAACATCATCACCAGGTATTCTTGATTTTTTTAAAACCAGAATTTGTTTTTGTTTTCTGTGCTTTTAACATATTTTAATCCAAACGTTTCCCTCTGTGTACACTCAGAGAAACAGAGCATTTGTAAATAAAGATTTTTTATCTTGTTCAAAGACAAACATGGGTAAAGCATTCTTCTTTGTAATATGTACAAAGAATGTGAACTTTATTTTAGAATTTCTTACAAGTAAGAGAAAATGTAGGTCAGTAGTAACATGTCTTTGTGTCAACATGAACATGAACCCAACTGCATAGGTATAAAATCAATAATGGCTATAAAATATTGGCCATAAATATTTTTTTGCAATCTTAATGAAGACAATCTGTTAAAAATTTAAAATTAAGAAAATATCCCTACTGACTGCAAAGCATTTCTAAAGTTGCTTTCAAAAAGCCTTAAAACACATGCTACTTTAATTTGCTTATGAGGAAGGACTATAATCTTTTCACAGTCATTAGAAGGCTTTATATAAAAAGATGATTAGACTTTCCAAAGGTTTTTGTTGTCGTTGTTCATTTGTTTGCACCAACTTTCTGTTTCCAATGCTTTCTGTTTATGGAAAAGTATTGTCATCCATGGCTGGAACTTCAAATATATATATATATATATATATATATATATATATATAGAAAAAAGGCAAGGCCAAAGTTAACACAGTACTCTGCACTCCTGGGCATAGATATATACTTTCCTTCTTCAGTCAGTTTTAGAGGATTTGAAATCTGTAGTCTACTACCATTAGGAATTAAACTTGAGTAAAGCTCCGTTGCATCATGGTCATCACATTTCACCAGGAAGATTCTGTGTCCAAGGATGAATTACTTGATCGATCAATCTCAATCCCCCCTTCTTCTTTTCTCTCTCCCACCTTGTTGTAGTCACTTTTCTATAGCTGTGAAGAGACAGCATGACCAAGGCAGCTCTTATTTTTTCAAGCATTTAATTAAGGGCTTGCTTATAGTGTTAGAGGATTAGTCCATTATCATCATTGTGGGAAGCAGATGGGCATGTCCCTTGAAGCAGTAGCTGAGAGCTTTACATCCTGATCTGTAGGCAGCAGAGACACTAGGCCTGTGGAGATTTTGTAACCTCAAAGCCCATCCCCAGTGACACACTTCCTCCAAGAAGACCACACCTATTCCAACAAAGCCACACCTCCAATCCTCCTAATCCTTCCCAAACAGTTCTACTACCTGGTAACTAAACATTAAAATATGAGTCTATGGGGGACATTCTCATTCAAATCCCCCCACCCCTGTCCTCTCCCTCTCTATGGAAAGGGTTCTAGGTTCCCTTATAATGACACTAGAGCAAATTATAGATTCTTCAATCACTAACAAAACATTTTAGCCATTTCTTTTCAGTTTAGTTAATTTTTTAAGGTTCCTCAATATTTCAGTATATTTGAATTTGCCGGAACTCATATTTCCATTCATGTTTCTGTGTCCCGTCCTGAGACTTGAGCCTTTGTGAAGCTTGTACTTGTTTTACGGTACACTGTAAACTGTATATTCATAACAGGTTCTTTGCATTTTAGGAGCTTCTCATCAATGGGGATGAGGCACCTTCATGGTCATTTACATTATACTATGCAAAAGGGGGAGAGGAGTGACTAGTTGAGCAAAGAATTTTTAAAGTGTGTTTGGGGGTGCACTTCAGATGTTGAGGATACCGGCAGCTGACCAAGGTTGAAGTGCCTATTGCATTGAGGAGGATCCATGAACAGGAGAAATGCTTCAATTACCGTTCCTCCCTGCCACTGTACAACTATACATATAATACCTTTTTTTGTTAAAAAGGAAAAAAAATAAATGGAGCAGCACTTGCAACTTTTTCCAGCCAAGCATCTAAAGAGAATGTGTCAATTCTGAGTGGAAAACAATGCTCAGCCAAGACTCCCCATTCAGGTGTTATTTATAAAATTTTAAGAGTTTGCTCTAGGGTGCCCTCAATTTGCAGGGAAAAGCCTATATTTTTCTTTAAACAACTTTCTCTGCATTCTTCACATACAACAAAGTGTGTGTAACCTGAAAAAAGAGTTAAGATTTATCCCAAAGTTCAAATCAGGAACCACTGAAACAAAGCTTGCAAGATGGGTGGGGACTTTCACTCTGGAGGCAAAGGTGAATTTAGTTTTTCCTTTGCCTTGTCCAAAAAGCAGAAGCAGGATTTTAAAGAGGAAGCCATTGGAATGCACCAAAGTAATGTAGTAGTAGGTGGGATGTGTCATCAATAGTAGTTCAAGTCTCCAATACAGTACCTCATTATTTCAGGAAATCAACTTTGTAATGGTGTAAATACAGGGACAAACATCTATAAACATACTACTAGTGAGCCAGACTTCAGAGCAGGTTAAAATGTAACTTGTAAATCAGTTAAATAGGTCAGATTTTTTTTTTATTTGTTAACATGGCAAGTGTTTTAGGGTTTCTACTACTGTGAAGAGACACCATAACCACAAGTCTTATAAAAGAAAAACATTTAATTGTGTTGGTTTACATTTTCAGTTTAGTCCATTGTTACCATGGTGTGATATGGTGGTGTATAGGCAGACATGGTGCTGGAGAAGTATTCGAGCGTCCTACAGCTTGACTTGCAAGCAACAAGTCTGAGACACTGGGTATATCTTGAGCATAGAAAACCTCATAGTGACATACTTTCTCCAATAAGACCACACCTCCTAATAGTGCCTTTCCCTTTGGGAGCCATTTTCTTTCAAACCACCACAACAAGAATGTACCTGGGGAGGCAATGTGTGTGTTTGAATGATCTGGAGGTCCCTTCCTTCTCACATTGGACAATGACAAAAAACTGGGCATAGAGTATGGAGCCCCATATCTAGGCTGCCTTGGGTTCTTAACCTGTAGGACTCAATATATGCGTCTAGGGCCAGGATTAGGGTAAACAGTGCAGGATTTAAAGGAGTGGAAGAAATTCAGCAATGAAGATAAATGACGTCTCAATGCAGTATTTTGGAAATGTTAAAACTAAAAATTTTAATATTAACACAATACCGAAGACAAGATCAAATAAGCTTAAGATAATTAAAATTATTTAAGACTGTCAGTGCTGGGTGTGGTGGCACATGCTTTTAATCACTGCACCAGGGAGAAAAGGCAGGGAGAGTTCTGTGAATTAGAGGACAACCTGGTCTGGTCTACATAGTGAGTTTCAGGGTTACACAGTGAGACCCTGTTTTTTTTTTTTTTTTTTTTTTTAAGCCAGAGTTGTGGAATTGAAACACAAAATACAAAAAAGTACATTCTGAAAATAGCGATCAGTTTCTTTCTATTAAAGCTTATAAATAGAAATCTTAATTACACTTTGCTTTCAAGTAAAGCAATGTTGTGAGTTTTAATACTACTTTAAAATGTTTTGAAATTTCATCAACTTTTAATGTTTTAGAAAAAAAGAAAAGTACATAAAACCATGAAATATAAGGGTCCACTTTCCTTGTGCCTCAGGTACAGTTCGGGACCTGTATTTAATAAAAATGTTAATATTCTGCTCCTCCACGTATTTCTTGAATTGATTCTGACTTCACATATTAGCATATCTAGATCGCCTAGTTTTTGACAGACCTTCAAATTTACGATTTTAGCCCCTTCGTCTTAATTCTCCAGTCTTTCTTACTGCATTAGGAAACTTGGGTCGGTTTCAGCTCCTCTAGGGGTTGAGCTATGTTTTATTTCACCTACCTTGCTCCCTCTCTCAGGCTGGAAACATCATCAGATAATTTCAGTTCAGTGCTAGGAATATAGTTCAGAGGCAGAGAGTTTAGTTGGCCCGTGCGAGGGCACTGCTCTGTCCAAAAAACAGCAGGAAAGGAAAAAAAAAGAAGAAAACTGTTATTCTCACTTCTAATCTGTTGTCTGCTAATATTTCTTTAAAATACAAGTTTTCTAGTTTGTTCAGCTATTCTAAACCCCTGCGGGTGGAGATCATTCAGGGGCAAAAAAAAAATTACGCCGGTGGCTTTGTTGATCCACCCACTTCCGCCTGGCAAGAAGTTCCCGGCACTTCTAAGTTGCGGGATCGTGTTTCCCTTGATATCAGCCGGCAGCATTTCAATGGCGCACACCAGAGATTTCCTGTTTTCCCTTGCCTATCGCGAGCTTTGCGGGCTCTGTGCGCCGGAAGCGAGCCTCTGGGAGGGTTGCAGTCGGGTGCTGCGCGTCTGGTGAGGGAAGGGGGACGGCAGAAGCTGAGTTGTGTGTCCCGAGTGCCCGCGCTCGTGCGGGATTGGGAGCAGGTGTGCGGATCCTTGCAGGAGGCCGAGGATCCCCGCTGCTCCCCGCGTTGCCTGCGAGTGCCACTTTAGGGGAAAGGCACCCGCTGACTCCCCTGGGCACGCTGCGGGGAGGGGGGAGGGCATACCCAGCGCTAACGGGAACAGAGACACTGATTTTTTTTTTTTTAAAACTGTAACGACTTTTGTATATGATTAATAGCAGTATTTATTGAACCCTACTGTTTACTGGAGACATTTTTAGGATTTTAGAATAACTGAACAAATTAGAAAAATTCTCTAAGAGAACTTGTATTTTAAAGACATTTTAGCAGACAATGGATTGGAATTGAGAATAGCAGGTTTTCTTCTTATTTTTTTTTTTTGCCCCTGCTGGTTATTGGACAGAGAAGTTAATTGAGACCCCAAACCACAGAGTTTCTTTTATCTTGTTCTGTTTTTGGTTTTTAGAAGGAAAGAAGAAATACCCAAATGTACAAAGATGTGCTTCCAAATTGGGTGCACATGAAATGGAATGCATTTAGAGATCTAGGACTAGTGGACATGTGTTCTTGATGTAAACTGTAGCGTTTGATTTATCTTTTCTCTTTTTCTTCAGGAAAAAGCTAAAGGTTAGATTGTAAGCAAAACGGAAGTCATGTTTCGAAGACCTGTGTTACAGGTAGTCATATTTCTATATTAGTGAGTGCTTGGCTGTGTTTTCATTGTCTGTAGCTCTTGGGTTTCTTTTTGCTTTTGGATACATAAGCAAAAGACTCTTAAGCCTGCCCATCATCTTATATGTGTTTATTTGATGGAGAAGGGGAAGGTTCAGGATGGAATTTTTTTTTTTTTTGTGGTGCTCATAATGCTTACTGAATCAAAAAGGATTTTAAAATGTATTCACATATATAATATGAATCGTTAATAAATGTTACTTGTGCTTAGATCAGTATATGTATTTAGTTATTTAATTTTTTTTTTTCAAGACAGGGTTTCTCTGTGTAGCTTTGCGCCTTTCCTGGAACTCACTCTGTAGACCAGGCTGGCCTTGAACTCACAGAGATCCGCCTGCCTCTGCCTCCCGAGTGCTGGGATTAAAGGCGTGCGCCACCACCGCCTGGCTTTTTGTTTTTGAGATAGCATCTTATATACCTCAGGGTATCTTGGGACTCACTGTAAAGCTGAGGATGACCAAGAACTTGTGCTCCTCCTGCCTCTGCTTTCCCAGGGCTGGTAATTCAGGCATGTACCACCGTCATTGGCTTCTTTTGTTATTTTTCCTGGTTCCTTTTCTGGCCTTCCATCCCCTCTCCTTCCCATTCCCACCTCACCAGCCACAAAAACCATTCTGTAATCTAGTCGGGTGTCCTCTGCTCTGGCCAGCCTTAAGCAGGCCTCAATTACCATTTTTCCTCATTGTGGCAAGTGAGTACCAAGACTGTAATTTTTTTTTTTTTTTTTTCTCGAGACAAAGTTTCTCTGTGTAGTTTTGGTGCCTCTTCTGGATCTCACTCTGTAGACCAGGCTGGCCTTGAACTCACAGAGATCTGCCTGGCTCTGCCAGAGTGCTGGGATTAAAGGCATGTGCCACCACTGTCTGTCAGATTGTAAATTCTAACATAAAATCTCACTATGACCTCTTCCTTCTGTTAAGACTGATAAGTCACATTCTTACAAAACCTGTTGTCATCTCCATCTTACTCTTAAATTGGTCTAACCTTAGGTCCCTACTTTAATCTCCACATGCTTTTAGCCTTTTTAAGTGGAAAAGTTATAGTATTACCTTTGAAACCAAATATGAAGTACAAGTTTGCACTTTGAGAGTGTTGAAGTTAAATAATTCTTTCCCTATTTCTGCTTTTCTTGGAGGTTGTGACTGGGGTGTGTGTGCCTAAGATGAGACATATTGTTATTATGTAACACACAGTCAGCACTGGCTCTTTTGATCCCTCAGACTGGTATTTTTTGTTTTTATGACATAGGAACTAATTAGCAGTTTGATCCCGTATTTGGCAAAACATCTTCTTCTTATATTTACCCTGAGTAATAAATAGTGTTTTATAGCTGGTATGGAGAAAGCCATTATTAAAAGACCAGGGAAGAAAACAGGTCCTCAACAGGAATTTTTAAAAAAGCTAGGTCTAGAAATTGTAGTGTGGTAACTTGACACTTCAGAGCTGCAGCCCTGTCTCTGCCCATATTTGCATGAAGAGACTGCATAATGAAGTTATGTACACAGCAGCTCTCAGAGGCCTGAGCAACAACCAGTTGAGATGACCCTTCTTATGTGGTAGGAATTATCTGCCAGAGAACTGCCTTCACAGTGGCTCACTAACAGCGAGAACTTTAAAATGGACGGCATCACCCTCAGCCCACTGCCTGAAGCCTGAAGTGGCTGAGAGTCCTGTTAACTGTCTAGCTAGCCAGCTGCCTCCTGCAGTGTCCTGAATAAATGTATTTTCTTTCTGTTGTTTGTTGTAAGACGAGAATTCTTTAGCCTGCCAACCCCTTTCTCTCCTGGGTGGCAGATCCACTAGGGAAATGTTGCTCTCTAGAATGTGTCTGGCTCTCTGAACTCTTGAGTGTAGTGATGTGTACTCTTCTTACCTTATGGTAACGGTAGAACAGGATGTCTTTAAGATAGCAGCAGAGGGCAAGTTGGGAAAACAACCTTGGTGTCAGACAGCCCTGAATTCTGTCATAAATTACCACTTAATTCCTAGTCTCCTGGACAAGTGGTTCACTCTCTGAGCTTAATTGTCCTTGGTTGTAAGGTAGGGGTAGTTTGACATTGTGTTGATAGTCTAGGATTAAATGGTAATAGGTAATTCTCTTAGCATATTAAATGATGCTATTTTTTGACTGTGAATATCCTTTTTCAGTAATTGTGACTTGATAGCTGTACTTTTGAGCCATATTTGTTTTGTACTGCTTTTCTTTTCTTTGTTTTGTTTGATTTTCTCTGTCATGCTGAAAGAATGAAGTGTTCCACTGGAGCAAGCTTACTATAGAAGCAGCCTCAAGAGATCAGTGTCATCTTTGCTCAGTTTTAAATGAGACACTCCAGGCCAGTCATTTGAGTTGTCCTTTTCCTTATGAATTTTGAACAACCAATCAGGGAGCAATTTTATTATAGACCTTGTAAGTTTTATCCTCAGTGCCAGAAGGATGCAAGGGATGTATTGTTATCATTTAAACAATTTCTCATCGTCTGCATTTGACACTGATTGTATTCTAAATATCCTAATAGTTGTTTGATAATTGCTTTTTATGTTTACTTAATTGATTTGTGACTCCATCCATTAGAAAACACTGATTTCTTTCCATTCTCCTTTGCTGTCCTTTCCTGGAACTTGTAGGAGCTACCGATGAAGTGGTGAATTAGTATGAGTAGGTCTTCTGTTGGCATTTGTCTTTCCTAAAGAATTTTTTTTTTTTTTTGGTTTTTCGAGACAGGGTTTCTCTGTGTAGCTTTGCGCCTTTTTCCTGGAACTCACTTGGTAGCCCAGGCTGGCCTCGAACTCACAGAGATCCGCCTGGCTCTGCCTCCCGAGTGCTGGGATTAAAGGCGTGCGCCACCACCGCCCAGCTTTCCTAAAGAATTTGAAGCTGTGTTACTTGTTTGTTCTCTTTTAGGTGTTTCATCAGTTCGTAAGACATGAGTCTGAGGTGGCCAGCAGTTTGGTTCTTGAACGATGTGAGTAACAAATTTCTAAGTTTGCAGTGTTATTTATAATACTCTGCTAATGCTCTCAAAGTACTGTGGAACTGTGGGCTGTGTTAACTGTGCTACCCATCATGTCTTTGGTTCCCGTTTTGCCCTTGTGCCTCTGTTTGTGAGGACCTAGTATAAAGAGAGCGTATAGTCCGGACATCACCCCTCCTGCTGCCACTGTCCTGCTCAGTCCTTCACGGCTGTGTTATGCAGGGTGCGAAGGATACTTTGCGCAGAAATATTCTTTTTGTACTAGAGATTTTCTTAAATCTCAGCCTTGTTCTTTTAGCTCCAGATGAAGAGATAAAATTTGTTTTGTGGGACTGCTTTCTGTTTGCTCTCTCCTTGTCAATCCTCTCTCCCCTCCCAGCCTTCCTTTGTTTTCCTTTTTAACTTGTGGGTCTTCTTTCTGTGAGGTTTTCATAATGTAGAGATGGAGGCTTAAGCGGTATCTGTAGTTGTTCATTCTCTGGACATTGCTGTCAATCTCAGGTGTGGGTACCCTGTGTGCCTGTGGCTACTATCATGAACAGACCAGGGGACACAGCAATAGATAGTTAATTCTTAGAGCCTCTGCAGGCTAGAAGGCCAAGACCAGACTATCAGCATGGTTGGGTTGCCAGTCAGGCCCCACTTGCTGGTTTGAGAATAGTTGTCCTCACTCTTGTTTTTATATTGCCGTAGTGGGGTGGTGGCTGTTCTGGTCTCTTCCCTTTTAGGGACACTAATTCCATCATGGAGGCTTTACCTTCATAACATCATCTAAACCTAATTACCTACACCAGGCTCACCTCCAGATAACGTCACATTGGAAGTTAGAGTGCTGAGGCCGCATAAACATACAGTCATCAGTAGGTTCTCAGCCCCATTGCCTTTCCACTTTCTATTTCAGCTATGAATCGTGTTCAGTTACTTGGGCGAGTAGGTCAGGACCCTGTCATGAGACAGGTGGAAGGAAAAAACCCAGTCACGATATTTTCTCTGGCAACAAATGAGATGTGGCGATCAGGGGACAGTGAAGTATACCAAATGGGTAAGTATAAAAGGCTGTAGTTTTTATTTTATCAGCAGTAAGTAGACATTATTACTGCTCATCTAACGTTAGAAATGTTACTTTTAGATAAAGTCAGTCTTTGTTAGTTCTGTTCTTTCTTTTAGAAATTGTAAACTTGTTTTCTCAAGACATGTTCTGTGTTCTTGGCATGTGTGTTACCTGCTGGCATCTGTAACTCCTATACCTGGTGGTTTAGGTGACGTCAGTCAAAAGACAACATGGCACAGAATATCCGTGTTTCGACCAGGCCTCAGAGATGTGGCGTATCAGTATGTGAAAAAAGGGTAAGTTAAAGAAAGGATCTTTGGGATTGAATCGCTGAAAGATTTGATAGCAAGTGTTATCTGCCTTTTCCCTAACTTAAGTACTGACATTAATATGTATTTATTCCTTAATGTCATGTTCCTGGAAAGTCTCTGTGGTTTTAGCCTGCTGACATGTTAGGGCAAACAGTATCAGTACATAAGTAGAAGTCAATGAAGCAGGCTATGGCAATACCACCGATGCTGCTGCAGCATGTATTTTTGCAAAACATCTACAGCACATGTCTTTAGGAGATCCTGTGCCACTGTGACCAGGGATCATTGAGGTCACATCTGGCTTCTGAGCAACCACACGATGTCTTTAGAGACATTTGGGATATTTGCCGTCTGATGTACTGCGTTATGGTAGTATTTACAGTAGTTATTTTATACTTGATAATTTTCTCTAGACTTAGTAATTCCAAGCATTTGGAATGCTTGGGTTGATTATGTATTAGAAGTGTCTTTTCTGAATGTATAGGATGACAAAAGAATGTCTTTATGGGTGTACTTCATATGTTTAGAAATCTACTTATTTGTGGATCTAAAATATTTCATGTGAAATAATTTCAGCAGTGACTAGAATTTCAATTTCATTTCAGTAATTACACACCCTTTCTTGGTGTGTGTATGAATATGTGAAGATACACATAAACACACAGGATGTTTGAAGGAAAATGCCAACAGTCAGTATCATTTATGGTGTGTGTGTGTGAGTGTGTGTGTGTGAGAGAGACAGAGAGACAGAGAGACTGACTAGGAATTGAACTCATGGCCTTATATATGCTAAGTGATTGCTGTATCACAGAGTCCCATCTCCTGTACTTCATACAGAGTTTTAAATTTGAGGCAGGCTCTCACTGAGTTGTCCAGGCAGACCTAAAACTTCCAATCCTCTGGTTTTTGATTCCTGTATGTTGGATTATAGGAAGGTACTGCCATGCCAGGGTAACGTCCTTCTTAACTCAATTGTGCCTTGTGTTTTAGTACTCTTATTTTGAAATTGGAGACGTGTTAGCAAAAGTGCCATTGTTTGATCTCTAGCGTGGACTTGTTTGTTCCCCGTGTCCTGACACTCTGTGAGGCAGAATTAGAGTCTTCAGACTAAAGACTGCGTTTTCTCTACATCAGGGCTCGCATATTTGTGGAAGGGAAAGTGGACTATGGTGAATACATGGATAAGAATAATGTGAGGCGGCAAGCAACCACAATCATAGCTGGTAAGAAGCTTGTGATAGATAGCTTCCTGTTTGTCTTTATTGAAAAGCTCGGCATGCTGTAAGCAGCTCTAGCTGGGGCTGCTGTAAGGACCTGTGCTGTCAAGATTGCAGGCAACTCGCCAGAAGAGTTTTATAATTTTCATTTTACTGTTTGCTAAGACTGTCTGCATTTATTTATTATTCTCAAAATCTCTCTCTGTATTCACTTGTTTAGTTCAGAAGGAACTTAGAGTATAAAATCGAGGTTCTCATGTCAGTACGTGCTGTTAAGCCATGGAAGAATTTAACCTTTGTGTCTTTTAAAAACACTTGGCCAGCCGTGCAGCGGTGGCACACGCCTTTAATCCCAGCACTTGGGAGGCAGAGCCAGGCAGATCTCTGAGTTCGAGGCCAGCCTGGTCTACAGAGTGAGATCCAGGATAGGCACCAAAACTACACAGAGAAACCCTGTCTCGAAAAACAAAACAAAACAAAAACCAATAACAACAAAAAAGAAAAACCGAAAAATAAAAAATAAATAAATAAAACACTTGGCCTATACAAGAATAGGCATGTGCCAAGGCAGTTGCAGAAACGTGATGTTAGGAATTTATGATTTATATAAAACTTTGAAACTTAAGGTGCAACAACTTCCATTTGAAATTTAAAAGCTTTTGTTGTCTTTAAACAAAATACAAAACAACATGAACTGCATTGACATAAAGCTTGAGACTGAGTTTAAAGTTCTGAAACAATAACTGGTTATATATCCATAAGTTAACATGAAAAAATGTTTTTTTTTTGTACAAAATTATATGTTGATTAATGAAATCTAGATACCTTACCAATTTAACACTGCCTATTTAATTAAAAAAAAAGATCTTCGTTAGTACTTGCTTGACAGATTTTAGTGTTAAAATGAAAATTATACTGTTATTAAAAATATATCTCTTAATGAGACAGATTTTTATTCTTGAATAAGTTGCTAAAATTATGAGTTAAGCCTCAGTTTAGTTATTTTGTTTTTATTGATATAAACACCAAGAAACCTGTTTTTATAAATAGGAGTGAAAACAATCTTAACTATAATTTTTCAGTGTTTATGAACTAGCGAGATATGCTATAATGAAGTGATATCATTAAAGACTGTTCTGTTGTATGATGTATGTGAGTAGAGAGAATAGTAGGTGAGGCACCCTTGGTGTCCCATCAGTTATTACTAATGGCCGCATTGACTCACACGGCTGCTTTTTCTCTTCAAGGATCAGTTGGAAGGGTTATTGTCTATTTTATTCATAAATTTTAACTGGTATTCCTGAAAGAAATGGTGCCTTTTCAAAAACAATCATTGTGATACTGTTATTTCACCCAATGTTGAAATTACTGTAGCATTTTTAAAGACAGTTGTCACTGTGTTCAACTTTCGTTCGAGTACTCCAGCTTTCTCATAAGCTAAATACTTTTTTTTTTCAAAATTTTCTCTTTCCCTTGTTCCAGTGTTTATGTCTTAACCACTGTTCATATTGGTAAATTATAAGTTGTTTTAAGCAATAATTGTATATTTTCTAATAGTAATCTTTTTTGGAAAATATATTGACTTTGGAAACCAATGTAGATATTTTTCAAACTCCATTTGCGTTCCACTATAAGCCAGATTTATGGATAAATTTTATATTATTTGAATGACTGAGTTGCTACAGACTAAGTCGGGTAGAGACAGTTCACATTGTTCACAGTTTCGCTTTCTCTTGTCATGGTTGTTACTGGTCTGCTCAGGTAACTATATATTTATGACTCACGGTGAAGCTGAATAGCTCTCAGTGATGCTTGAAGAAAGTACTGTTTTGATTTTTTTTTTCTGGTTACATTTAACTTCTTTTTGTTTATTGTGTATTAATATAATCATAAAGGAAGTTCCATTTCTCATGTGAACACTAGCCAATATAGGGATCAATCTAAAAATTTCTAAAATACGTTTACATCCTAAATTATCCTTTTGTTGTTTGTTTGCTTTGTTTTAATTGTTTGTTTGTTTTGTTTTAATTGTTTGTTTTTCAGATTTATCAGCTCCTTCCATTCATTTTGATACTGTTTTTTCACCTAGGGGTCATACTTGAACTTTAAAACAAAACCAAAATGCACCAGCAGATGGCAGTCTTGGCTTTTGCTAGTGATTTCCATTTTAATCCCTTCAAGTTACCATCCTGTACAGTCATGAAGTGATTGTTACGAATAACTATCTTTAGATAATTGTATAGTTATTGAGGATCTAAAATGTTTGGAGTAATCCAAGAAATGCTATTTCACCTCTTTATCTTTGGTTGTTTTTAGCCAGTTTTCTTTGGAATAATCAGAGCAATGTCCAATTTTTTTTGTTTTTGCATAAAAATGCTTTACTTTGTATAATACTTAAAACCTTTCCTAAAAGTCAGTATATGAAATTCATTCTTAGAATTTAAAATAAATTAATTTTCTTAAAGGCAAGTAAACTTGCAGTTGCTAAGTGGCCACAAGCCCACTCTTGTGCTGTGCTGCATGTCTGTAGCATGTAGCACGTGGAATATCTTCATTGCCCCCTTGTTTGTGGGTGTGCTTTCTAGTCTCAGTTGAATCTGTAGATGTTCACCTCGTTTACAGAGAGTTATTGTTGGGGAGACCTTAATGGTCTCATTCTATAATGAAGTCTTAATTGTTGGGCAAACAGCTTCAGCCTATTGTATTATTTATTTATCTTATACCACTTTTGTGTACCTCTCATGGACACAACAAAAGTTGCTTAATATTTTGAAATTTTGTAATACCACTAAAGGATGTCTGTGTTGGAGGGGAATTATTATATGAAATGAAGACAGCATTCTGAAATAACTTTTACATTTTGGTTTCTTTCCAGATAACATTATATTTCTGAGTGACCAGATAAGAGAAAAGGCATAGAACGGATCATTCTTCTTTGATCATTGTTTGGTACAGTCTCCTTTCCAAATCATGTATAGTCTATAGTTTAAAGATAAAGATTAAAAAATTTTATATAAAATGAGTGGCAATATTTTTCCTGACTGACATATCTTCTTTTGTGTGTGTGAAATAACCCTTTATTTCTGATCAGTTGTGGCACTTACTAATTGCATATTTTTCTAGGAGTGGTTTCTCTATACAAGTGTACAAAGTAACGAACTCTCAGGCTCCACCCTGTGTGCTGTGGCCAAGGCATACGTTTGTTTGGAAGGTCTTCTTTTCTCCTTCACACTTGCACTGTGGTATTTCAGCCACTGTTACTTTTTAGCCTTGTGTGTCAGGAGTCTGTCCCATAGTTGTAAACACTGACGTTCTGAACTTTACTCTGTAGACTTGATGGTAAGTACTGACTCTGCTCTGTGTACCTGCACCCATACAAGTATACTAGTGTTGACACAGAAGAGCCACTCAGTGATATGACAGATAAACGATCCTAAATTAAAGGAGGCCGAAGTTACTATCCCATCTCAACTGCTTCGGGAGTCACCCACCTTCATACCTTGTTTGTTGGTAGTTTCACTGTAGTGTGTATGAGACCTTTTATCAGCCCTGAGGCCCAGAATGAAGTGTAAGTGGAGTGGACATAGTCCTCTCCAGTTCTTTCAGTTCCTTTAGTCTCTTTCTTTCCACACCCTTCTCTGCCATCCTTCTCAAAGTTTATTCCAGAACACCCTTGAGGGTGGAGATGGAGGTCATTTTCTTGGTACTGGGGATCAAACCTACAGTCTCAAGTTCAACAGGCCCTCTCCCATGAACTACACCCACTTCGAGGATCCCTTTAATACCTTTGATTTTGCCTCCTTAGAGAGTCTGTGTATGTACAGTTAATTTTTTTGTAAGTTTACTAGTGATTTGCCAATAAAGATTATGTAAAATCAGTATTTTATATCTTTTTTTTTTTTTAAATTTGTACCACTCATCCTTAGTCAGCCTGCAGCTTTCCATAGGTTGGCTATTGCTCAGACTGTTGCTTTGTTCAAGTGTGGGAAGTTCTTCATTCTTTCTGTTCCACGCTGCTCTCACCTTGGTCCCCAGCCCAGCCTTTGTATTTGTTCTTTGCCCTGGGAGTTGATGCCAGCTGTAGCTTAGATTATATTAGATGTAAGAAGTTCAGAGTCACGTGCTGTGCTATGGGCTCTTGGCTTTCTGAAGTGTTCTGTACTGATAGTGCAGTTTGTTGGAAGGAAGGAGGAGTTCCTTGGCTTTACCCTGTCCTTCCCAGAGACAATAGAAGATTGCTGTCCTCCCCATCTGCCTATTTTTTTCTGCCACTGGGATCACTGGTCAACATACTAGGTCTTTCTGTGTTCACTCATTGAACCTGGTGGCACAGTCCTCTGTTTTGAGCAACTGCTGTGTCTTTCCTCAGCAAAGCAGTTTTTATCATTCTTAAACATTGTGAGGGATTATGTGTATTTCTGAGTGAAATTTCAACAAGGTGAAAGTGGAAAAAAATTCTCATCGTGTATAAGAGCTAACCCAAAGCCGAAGCTGTTCCTGAGTCTGGGTTGCAGTAGAGTAGTACATCCTGCAGGATCATCTCCATGGGCTGGAGACTGTCTGCCCTCCCTGTCTGAAAGGCTGTGAGGTGGAGGCAATTTCACTCAGGCTGACTCTTCTGCCTTCCTAGTGATTGTGGCCAATCCTAAGCCAGTCAGAGTTGCTGGAATCTAATGCTACATGGCCTCAGCTGCAGAGAAACTGCATTGCTCCCGCTGGACCAGGCACACCCATGCAGCCCCATGTCCTGAGAAACACCACTGCTCCCAGGCTGGACCAGGCACAGAGTAGACCTGTGGGATCTAGCAGTGTATGCTGTAGAGACTTGTAATTCAAGATTCCCTTCTTGATGTGATTGTATCGACATAAATTTACAGGGATTTTATTCCATGTTAAATGGAAAGATGAAAGGTAGGAGAAAAACTGTCGAACAGCATTTGTGGTAGTATCCCATTTTTGGAAAACAGTTATTTTTCAAAAGTAAGGAGAATATATGTGTTTTAAAAGTCTGGAAAGAGAAGCAGCAAATGCTATGATTGTCTATAGGGCATTGTGTGTAGTTCCTTCATACTTCCCATGCATGCTTTTAATAACATGAGTGTATTTTAAAATGGGAGGGGGCATGTCTTTTCCAAACCTCAGAAAGTTAATAGCAGTGCTGCTTCACATACTGGGAGTGATGAAGAAAACTTCCCATGTCTACCCCCCCAGCCATCTATCTCCCCTTCAGCATAATACCCCCAGCCATCTATCTCCCCTTCAGCATAATACCCCCAGCCATCTATCTCCCCTTCAGCATAATACCCCCAGTCATCTATCTCCCCTTCAGCATAATACCCCCAGCCATCTGTCTCCCCTTCAGCATAATACCCCCAGTCATCTGTCTTCCCTTCAGCATCTTATGCTTGTGCTCTGTCTTCATTCACCTGTAACAGCACGCACATGACTCTGAAGGCTGCACTTTAAAGACCGGCCAGTATGAGACCCACTGTTTACTTCCATTATAATTCTTGGGATGATTAACTCACCTCATCAAACTCCAAACATTTTTTTTCTGAGGCTCTTGAGGGAGATTGGTTATGTTGCCAATCAGGTTATAGGCTAAACTTAGTATTAATTAAGAAAATTGTCAAGAAGTTTCCCCGTGTTCCCAAAAGAGATCATTCTTAGAATTAGTTTCTCCTCAGATGATCCCTTTGTTCCTGTCTAGCTCAGGCTAGCACATTGTGCTGTGCTGGTGGTTCGTGGGCATGGAAATGAGAGCGGGATCATTTTACGTATTTTCTTTGGATTTGCATTCTATGCTGTGAAGACTGGAGGGAGTAACAGCAAGACAAATGATAGCAAAGGAACAGTGATCCCTCAGGTTAGTAAGTTACAGGGAAACCTCGGAGACAGTGACAGTAGTCATAGTAGTGACCAATACTTCTTAACCCATTGCCTGAGTCAAGTACTGTGCTAAACATACTTTATCATTGTCTCATGTAACTGTTTTCCAAGAAAAAAGTGACAGTATCATTTTACAGATGAAATTCAGAAACACAGAAAGGTTTAAAAAAAGTCAAAGCCGCACAGTGGAGTTTGAGCTCAGGTGTGTGAGCAGTGAGCTTTCTGCTCACTGCTCACTTTCCACTGGCTTTGTGTAGCTTCAGCCTCCCACTGCTAACCTGGAGTGTCCCGAACAGTGTGTTTCCCACATACTAGGAATAAATGGAGGTGTCAGTTAGGGAGAGACTTAGGCGTGAAGGAAATACCTCCACTCTATACTCTCTCACCGTTCCGCCACAGGCTTCTCCTGACAGTTCCGCTTTCCTTATATCAAGCAGGTGTCTCCTTACAGGTTAGAGTAGTGTCAGGGTGTCCACTGGTTTCACTGTCCAGTAAAATTGCAAGGAATGCTCAGGAAGTTTTCAGGCTCACTTTGTAGGAAATTGTGGCACCAATAGAATTGAAGTTTGGTCTCCTATCTCAGTTTTCCTCTTTGCCACCTCATAGCTCCACATACTACGATAGTGGCTGACTTCTATGGCTGGCAGTATCATGCAGCCACACTATTGAAGCATCTTTTTTTGATTTTTAAAAATTTTCCAATCATTTGCTTGCTGCCATGTTATTTTGCTGTACAAGTGTCTATGTCAACTTTCTCTGCCTTATGAGTTGTTTTAAAAGGAAAAAAAAAAAAAGAAGGGAGGTCTTTAGTAATAATTGCCAGAGGCAAGGCTGTGCAGTGGAACGGTTCAGATCTACTTACCAGCTCAATGGAAGTTAGTTAATTTCCTTTGCCGTCAGTGCTTTTGTTTTTCTTGAGTAAACGGTGATGTACCTATCTTATAGGCCTGCTGTGAAGAGCACCGTAAATATTGTAAGAGTTGTGACTTACAATTGTAATTGAAAAAAATGTTGAGAACATCTTGGCTACTGTTGTAGTTATTTGAAATAAGGCATGTTATCCATCTACTGTGCTCTTTTAGGAAATCTCATGTGGGCTTTGTGAGTTTATGAACTGTATGGTAGTTTATTATACTTGTCTTTTTTGTTGCTAACTTCTATGCATAACTGACTACTTATTATACATTGGTGGTATAATTTGGGTGTTTTTAACCTTCTATTGCTACCTACAATTAAATTGGGTATTTTTTTTTTTTTTTTTTTTTGGTTTTTCGAGACAGGGTTTCTCTGTGTAGCTTTGCGCCTCTCCTGGGACTCACTTGGTAGCCCAGGCTGGCCTCGAACTCACGGAGATCCGCCTGACTCTGCCTCCCGAGTGCTGGGTAAATTGGGTATTTTAAGCTTCAGGCAGTTGGGTACTTGCTGTATGTGATGCTGCAATGCATACCTAGATACAGGGATAAATTTAACAAGACCCCTGTGTTGAAGGAACTCATAATTTAGGATGATGAGGGTCAGCCAGGAAGGAGAGCAGAAGACCGTGCAGCTGATTGTGATCTGATGTGGCAGTAGCCCAGGAGAGTGTAGCAGCTAAGCCATTCTTAGCAGTGAAACAGCATGGCTAGACATCCAGAAACTTAAAGCTTTTCAGCAGTGGAAAGTTCGACAAGGAAAGTGGGTTTGGGCTAGACTTTAGAGGGCTTGGAAAACCTGCAGAGAACTTTGGCTCTGTGGTGCCTTTGAAGGCTTGAAAACAAGAGCAAGTTAAAGATATGTAGAAAGAGCACAACAAAGATGGAGTGAGGGGCGAGAGAAGGAACAGCTTAGAAGCAGCCAAGAAGCACCAGCAACCAGCAGTCTGCCTGGAGGTGTTGACATATCACACTTGACTTGAGGGACATTTAAAAAAAAATTATTAATTTTTTTCATTTATTTTACAGACCAACCAGTTTCCCATCCATCCTCTCCTCCCACTCCTCCCTTTTGTGCCCCCCCCCCAACTCTTCCTCTCTGTCTGTTCAGGAAAGGGCAGGCCTCTCATGGGTGCCAACAAAGCATGGCTTATCAAGTTGAGGTAGGACTAAGCTCCTCCTTTTGTATTTAGGCTGGATGAGGCATCCCAGCATAGGGAATAGGCTCCCAAAAGCCAGCTCAATCATTAGGGACAGGCCCTGATCCCACTACTAGGAGTCCCATAAATAGACCAAGCCACACAACTGTCACACATATGTAGAGGGCCTAGGTTGGTCCCATGTAGACTCCCTAGCTGTTGGTCCAAAGTCTGTCAGCTCCTGTGAGCCCAGGTTAGTTGTTTCTGTGAGTTCCCTTGTGATGACCTTGACCCTCCTGGCTCTGTACACTCCCTCCTCCCTCTCTTCAACAGGATTTCTGGAGCTCAGCCCAGTGCTTGCCTGTGGATCTCTGCATCCACTTCCATCAGTTACTGGATGAAAGCTCTCTGATGACAATTAAGGTAGTCACCTGATTAGAGGTAGTCATCTGATTAGAGGAGATGGCCAGTTCAGGCTCCCTCTCCACTATTGCTAGGAGTCTTAGTTGGGGTTGTCCTTGTGGATTCCTGGGAGTTTCCCTGGTACCAGGTTTCTCCCTAACCCCTAAATGGCCTCCTCTATCAAGACATCTCTTTCATTACTCCCCCTCTGTCCTGCCCCTAGCCTGCCCAGTCCAATCCTTCATGCCCCCCGCCCCCCACTTCCCTACCTTCAACCACCCTCACCCCCTGCACTCCCAGTTTACCTAAGAGATCTCTTCTATTTCCTCTTCCCAGGGAAATCTATGAATCCCTCTTTGGGCTTGAGGGGCATTTGTAATTCAGATGATTCAACCCATATTGTGCTCTAGTTTCATCCAGATCCTGTGTTTGCTATAGCTTAGACATATTCAAGAAAAGATGCAGGTGGTGGCACATGCCTTTAATCCCAGCACTTGGGAGGCAGAGGCAGGTGAATCTGTTAGGAATTCAAGGCCAGCCTGGTCTACAGAGCAAATTCTAGGACAGCCAAGGCTACACAGAGAAACCCTGTTTTGAATAACAAAACAGAGAGAGAGAGAGAGAGAGAGAGAGAGAGAGAGAGAGAGAGAGAGAGAGAGAGAGAGAGAGAGAGAATATTCAAGAAAAGGTTGGGGGAAATGGCTCATTGGGTAAGGTGCTTGCTGTTCAGATGGCCAGAACTCATATTAAAAAGCCCAGCACAGTTGTACATGCATATAATTCAAGGTGCTTGCTGTTCAGATGGCCAGAACTCATATTAAAAAGCCCAGCACAGTTGTACATGCGTGTAATTCCAGTATCAGGAGGCTCCTGGGGCCTTGCTGGCCAATTGATGAGCTCCAGGTTCAGTGAGATACCTTATCTTAAAAAAGAAGGTGGAAGCCGGGCGGTGGTGGCGCACGCCTTTAATCCCAGCACTCGGGAGGCAGAGCCGGGCGGATCTCTGTGAGTTCGAGGCCAGCCTGGGCTACCAAGTGAGTTCCAGGAAAGGCGCAAAGCTACACAGAGAAACCCTGTCTCGAAAAACCAAAAAAAAAAAAAAAAAAAAGAAGGTGGAGAACAATAGAGGAAGAAACCAATATGGACTTCTGGCCTCCCCATGTGTACATGAGGGCATGTGTACCCCAGCTTGGGTACACCACACACATGCACACGTGAAAAGGTGAAAACAAAACAACAGCAACAATAAAACATACAGCTCCTGTCTGGCATCTAGTACTAACACAGTTAAGTAGTTGTAAGAGAAAAAGCAGTCAGGTTATTTGGAGCTTCCTCTTGTCAGATGTGTGGTAGACAGTGACACCTTGTTTCTGGATTGGGGACAGACTTGAGAGGGTGAACATCTGCTGGAAAGTCTACAGTTAAGCAAGGCAATGAACATAGGAATTAACCGTGGAAGGACAGCTCCCTTTCTGGGTCCATATGGCTCTGAGAATGTAAGGCTACCTAGAATGTAAAGCACAAATGTGATTAGTATACTACTACTCATTAGTTCTGTATTCACAGAACTGGTATTTGTTTGGAGTGACAGTGTGCACAACTCAAATACTGCATACTTGTTTTTGTGGTTATGGATTGCCAAAAGGCTATGTGCAGAAGTCATTTGGTGGAGCTTTTAGGAAAGTTCTTAGATGAACTGTTGGAAATGTGTCCTTTGTCTTTCTAGACTGTCATCCCTTGACCTTTTCTTTCTTTTCTGTAATGGGAACATGTTGGCTGAATCTCCAAGTATCATCCAGAGCATGAAGTGGTCTACAAGGGAGAAGATGGAGGAAGCCAAAACTATGATGACATAAAACCACCAGAGCATACCTGGACAGCCTACCTCTGAATTCTTTGGGAGATGCAAATAAACCTCTTGTGTTTGTGTGCAGTTAAATATATGTCTTAAAAATTCACAAATATCTACCTTCTCATATAAATGATCAAATCTTTGCTTTTTTTTTTTTAAATATTACACTACAAGTTGAAGTAAGAAAGACATCACTGATCTCACAATCTTTGCCATTTTAACTCAGATCATTATAAATTTGGGGAGAGAGTTGGGACATGAAAAATACACAAAGCCTTAGCAGTCAGACTAAACAAGCCTTTTTTTATTGTTGCTTTTGTTTTTATCAAGCTAAATTTTTATTATAGTCCCTCATGAGGAACTTTAGTAGCCCTCCTAAGGGAGCAGGCCCTTAAGAATAAACTGGGTGGCAGTGGCGCACTTCTTTAATCCCAGCACTTGGGAGGCAGAGGCAGGTGGGTCTCTGAGTTTAAGGCCAGCCTGGTCTACAGAGCGAGCTCCAGGACAGTCAAGACTACACAGAGAAACCCTATCTCTAGAATACAGAACAAAACAAACAAAAGTATTGTCTTTATATTCCCTTGCAAATGGCAGATTAGAGAATTGAGTTGGGAGGATTTCCTAAGTACAGAATAGTTTGTTTTACGTTGGTAGGTTTATTCGTCTGCTGTGGCAGCCAGAGCAAAATACAGACTAGTAGTGGGAAGAGCAGACATTTCCTTTTAGCTCTGGGGCCAGAGTGAGTCATTCTGGAGAAGAATCTCCCTGGCCTGTAGGTGGCTGATGTCTTGCTGTGTTCACGTGACCTTTATTTTGTGGGCTTGCAGTAGCAGAGTCCTACCTTTTTGATCTCGTGCAACCTTAGTTTCCTCCCTTAAAACCTCATCTCCAAGTACTTTTCTCTGTGGTATGTTACAAGGAGGGGAAGAACTTCATGGATTTTGGGGAGCAGGGACCTCATGCAGCCCATAGCATTGGGCTTGCAGAAAGAAACCAACTCAGCCTAACATTGTAAAAATAGGGACTAAAACATAGGCAACTATGGTGATTTTATTTGTGCTGAAATGTGATTTTATTTGTATGTTAATAAATAAAGTTGCCTGGAGGACAGCAAATAGCAAGCCATTTAGCAGAAGTCTGGCAGTAGTTGCACCTGCCCTGAATCCGGATCACATGACAGGCAGAATCTCTGTGTGTTCAAGGACACAGCCAGCATGGAGAGATACACCTTTAATCTCAATACCAACCATAGAGACCTGGAGGTCTGTATAGACAGGCAGTGACAAGGAAGTCATGTGGTTGGGTTTAGAACCAATGAGAGGGCAGAACAGATAGTCAATAAAAAATACAGACACACAGGAAGTAGGTCTCTTCTCTCAGGGGAAGGACGGCAGCAGCTGGTAAGCTAAGGGCTATTCGCTAGTGCTCTGACCCCTTGGGCTTTTAACTCTGCATTTGGCTCTGTGTTTCTTATTTCATAAGACTGTTCAGAATTACATCTACAGGACAAAGGGTTCTTTAATGGTGCACCAATCTTGGCATTGTGGTTTATACAGAAATATCATGTACCAAAGGTGTGTTTAAACAGTAAAATTTCCTTTCAAATGGGAAGACGAGCACTGTTAACAACATACTTAAACTAAGACTCTAGCAAGTACTGTTATAACAGGGTTAAGATCATAGACAGTGATTCACAAATGCTGTGATTACTTTGAAAATAAATATAGATAAGAGTTACAGGAAATTAAGCAATACCCAAATGTCAAGCTCTAAACAACATCAAAGAAAGATCATTTTGAAAAGATGCCATGTACGAATGTCAGAATACAAAGTCTTCAATGAATGGTCTCTGAATAGCTTTATAAAACTCTGTTGAAATGCATTAAAAAACACTAGTTCGTCATGTTTATTGGAAACATTGCCATTGTGACAGTTGGAAAGAAATTTAAATCAATTTTTAAAAATCCTTTGGGGACATATGACAAGCTGATTTTGAAGATGCTTTGGCAAGCAAGTGGCCAAGCATAACTGCCTCTTGGAGAATGAACTAGGGGATGTTCTCTGCTAGTTTAGGGTTTGTTCATGTCAGTGTATATATGTGGTTACTGTGAGAAAGTGTACTGCTGATGTGGCTACAAAGCAAAGTAATGACAAATAATAGAGTCCAGAAGTCGATCATGCTTATGTAGAGACAACAGCCAATAAGAGTGTGTGGCATGGGCTATTCAACACAAGATGCCAGGAAAATTTGTTACTCATTTGGGGGTGGGGAGAAAAATTGAATATTTTGCTTTATGCAAAACTAAATTTTGGCTATTAAGACCTATTTGCAAAATTCAAAACTTGACAATGTTTTCATGAGTTAAGGTTAAGGCATTTTTAATAAATTAGCTAATTTTAAGACCAGTGACGCTGAATTTTATGCTCTTAAACCTCCTTCCAGTGTGATAGACTTCTGGCATTTCCCTGTTTCTGTCTGTCTTCCTTGTAGAGAAGCAAGACCTCTCACATTTCAGGTCGTTCTGTGCTTCACTTAGATACCATTCACCTTTCTCTTCTGGGGGGTTCCCAACACCACTTTCTGCTGTGGGATGTTCTGTATGGCAAATGTGTTGCTAATTAGTCAATAAATAAAACACTGATTGGCCATTGGCTAGGCAGGAAGTGTAGGCGGGACAAGGAGAATAAAGCTGGGAAGTGGAAGGCTGAGTCAGAGAGACACTGCCAGCCGCCACGATGAGAGACAGCATGTGAAGATGCTGGTAAGCCACGAGCCATGTGGCAAGGTATAGATTAATGGAAATGGATTAATTTAAGCTGTAAGAACAGTTAGCAAGAAGCCTGCCACGGCCATACAGTTTGTAACCAATATAAGTCTCTGTGTTTACTTGGTCGGGTCTGAGCGATTGTGGGACTGGCAGGTGAGAGAGATTTGTCCTGACTGTGGGCCAGGCAGGAAAACTCTAGCTACAAATGGCGTCCAACGTGGTGGCAAGAGTTTCCACCTAAAACCTGAGAAAAGATTCTAAAACGGAGCTAAAAACAGTTCCTAATTGTCTCTCTCAAATGAGCGGCAGCTGCTGGTTTGAGCTACTGGTGGGTTCCTAGCGTGCGTGCTCAACCTGCCTATGGCGGGAATGAGGCCTTTGCAAGTGGCACTTTGAGCTGCATGGTGGATTTAGCCTTTGCTGGTGCAGAGCAAAAGGGGAGGTTTCTAGGCTACACGCTGCTTGGCTAAAAGCATAGACCCCCGATAGCTCCCAGAGCTGGCGGTAAACCATGGCCATGTTGGGAAGCTGAGGTGGGTGGATCCAGCAGCCACAGCTGCTGCAGTTTAAGGCAATAGATTCACAATAAGACAGATTCAGATGTAATAGTTTACAATGTGTGTAAAAGATACGTAGGCTTGAAAGAGACAAAAAAGATGATATATAGAGTTATAGAAACAAATACATAGTTTTAAAAAAATAAAGTCTTTAAAGAGACAGTAAAGGTAGTATAAAAAATAAGCCATGTAAAAATGGATATTACACAGAGAATCTGGATTGTATTGTCTTTGGGACTTTTAACTGCAGAAAAACATTTGATTGTAAAAGCTGTTGAGTTATGTCAAAATGTATACTTTAAAGGTACCTTGACTTCAAAATTTGGATATAAGGATATGTTGCTTTGGAAAAGAGTCTCTTTTGTTTCCACAGAAAGCCAGAGGCTATGGATTTGTTCAAGATTAAGATACATCAGGTTTGACCAGCCAAGACCCCCTGAAAGTCTCCGATGACACCATGGCCCAGATGATCCAACATCCAGAATGGTTTCAAGGCAACTGGCTCAGACAATACAGCCTCACGGACTATTCCATAATCCTAAAATTTTCTTTGTTTCCCCATAAGATACAGCGCCCCCCTCCAGCAGGAAGTAGTAAGAGAAGCTACGCCCAAATTCCCAAATTATATGTAATTTTACTTTGTTAAGGTTAAAACCTTCCTTTTTGAAAAAAAAAAAAAAAAGGAAGTGCTGTGGGATGTTCTGTATGGCAAATGTGTTGCTAATTAGTCAATAAATAAAACACTGATTGGCCATTGGCTAGGCAGGAAGTGTAGGCGGGACAAGGAGAATAAAGCTGGGAAGTGGAAGGCTGAGTCAGAGAGACACTGCCAGCCGCCACGATGAGAGACAGCATGTGAAGATGCTGGTAAGCCACGAGCCATGTGGCAAGGTATAGATTAATGGAAATGGATTAATTTAAGCTGTAAGAACAGTTAGCAAGAAGCCTGCCACGGCCATACAGTTTGTAACCAATATAAGTCTCTGTGTTTACTTGGTCGGGTCTGAGCGACTGTGGGACTGGCAGGTGAGAGAGATTTGTCCTGACTGTGGGCCAGGCAGGAAAACTCTAGCTACAACTTTCTGCTGTTCTTTTTTGTTAATGTGATAAAATACCCTGATAAAAATATCAAGGGAGAAAAGGTTTATTTGGGCATATAGTTCCAGGGGAAGCAGCAGGCCTCATCATATTGTGTGGGAAGCAGAGAACAGTTAAAATGGGGCCAGGATAAAATCCCAAAGCCAACCTTAGTGACAGTAACTTACTTCCTCTTGCTAGGTTCCACCTCTAAGGTTTCCAGAACCTTCCCTGTGGTGATATATTATGTACCCTAATAAATTTGCCTGAAAATCAGAGAACAGAACAAGCCAGTAGATTAAACATAGAAGCCAGGCAGGCAGTGGTGGCACACACCTTTATTCCTAGCACTTGGGAAGCAGAGATCCATTTGGATCTCTGAGTTCAAAGCCACCCTGGACTACATAAGATTGACTCAATATAGGAGAGAAACAGAGCCAGGCAGAGGTGGCACACACCTTTAATCCCAGTACTTGGGAGTCACATATCTTTAATCCCAGCACTAGGAAAATTGAGACAGGAAATGATATGGGTGGGTGGAGAAAGGTATATAAGGCATGAGGAGACAGGAACTAAAGTCTTTCAGCTGAGGAAAGCTTTTCAGGCTGAGGAGTCCTAGTGGTAAGAGGTGGCTTGTTCCTTTGTCTCTCTGATCTTTCAGTATTTACCCCAATTTCTGGCTCTGGGTTTTTTATTAAGACCATTTAGGAATTCGTGTTACACTTCCCAAACAATGCCACCAGCTGGGGACCTTGTTTTCAAACACATGGGCCAATCAGAGATGCTTTGCATTCAAATCATAATGCCCACTCCCTCTGAAAGTGAGTCTCAGTCCTCCATATTCTTTGTGACCCAGATGCCTTCCTTGACCATGTGACACTGGGCATTATTTGCATTTTAACAAAGAGCTGCTTTGTTAAGATCATAGAAGTGACATTCTGTGTCATCTGTGAAGAGGACAACCAGAGCAGATTCACAAAGCTGTCAGACTAAATCATGCAGAAGAGACAGATGCAGTGAAATAGGAAGAGGTAGAGCTCAGAAAAACCTTGAAATTGACAAGGAGATGAGATACACCAACAGAACCAGGATCAGGTTGGCCTAATTTCTGCTATGTTGGGATTTACTGAAGGAGTGTTCCTGATTCTGATTGTTACTGAGTTTGTTCTTGGAAATCTGGTGAATGGTTTCATTGGGTTGGTCAATGGCAGCCACTGGTTCAAGAGCAAGAAAATTTCTTTGTCTGACTTCATCATCACCAGCTTGGCCCTCTTCAGGATCATTCTTCTGTGGATCATCTTTATTGATGGCCTTATAATAGCATTCTCTTACCACACCCATGACTCAGGGATAATGATGCAAGTTATTGATGTTTTGTGGACCTTTACAAACCACTTCAGTATTTGGCTTGTCTCCTGTCTTGGTGTTTTCTACTGCCTGAAAATAGCCAGTTTCTCCCACCCCACATTCCTCTGGCTCAAATGGAGAGTTTCCAGGGTGGTTGTTGGGATGCTGTGGGGTGCACTGCTCTTATCCTGTGTCTGTACCATGTCTCTGATGAATGAATTTAAGATCCATTCTGTCCTCGATGGAAGCAGAGGTACATCAAATATGACTGAATACTTCAGACTGAAGACAAATGAATATAATCTGATGCATGTTCTTGGCAATTTGTGGAAGATTCCTCCATTAATTGTTTCCCTAGCTGCCTACTTTCTGCTCCTCCTCTCTCTGGGGAAGCACACAAAGCAGATGCAGCAATACAGTACTGGCTCCAGAGATCAGAGTACTGAAGCCCACAAAAGAGCCATCAGAATCATCTTCTCCTTCCTCTTCCTCTTCCTCTTGTACTTTCTTTGTTTTCTAATTTTGTCATTCAGTCGTTTCCTACCAGCAACTAAGATTGCCAGGATAATTGGTGTAGTAATTGCCATGTCATACCTTGTTGGGGACTCATTTATTCTCATTATGTGTAACAAAAAGCTAAAGCAGATGTTTGTGGCCATGCTCCCATGTGAGTGTGGTCACCTGAAGCCTGGATCTAAGGGATCCTTTGCTTCATAGAATAGCAGAGGGCATAGCATGGAGCCTGGGGGTTCCTCAGCCTGATGTAGCACTATGGAGCCCTCTGAGTCTGCCATTCATCAGTCTATACCATCAGTAGGAGAGATATTGCCTGCTTCGCCCCAGATTCTACCTGGCTTAGAGGTGAAAGCCATGCTTCTGAGGGCCTCTCTCCATAGGATCATTTGGACAGGTGCAACAGTCTTTGGGGAATGCCAGTGTAAGAACACTCACTATGTAGATATGGAGATGTATTTTAATAACCATTAGCTTAGGCATAGCCAGTCTGTATATTAGTTTTACCTTAAATTTTATGTCGCTATAAAGTACTGCTGTGGCCATGACATAAGAGCAAAAACTTGCTTTTTCTTAGATGTGGGCTTGAATTCTGGTTCTGTCAACTTTCTATTTTTGTCTGTGGATGAATTGTTTTTGTGCTTTTCCCTTTACCCTAAAATATGGATGATAACATCATCCACAGAGTAGTAGAAATTCATGAGACAATGTGTGCCAACATTTTAGCACAATGTGTTATATAAAGTGCTGGATTAATTGAAGGCTGTCATTATGTCAAACAATGAATTATGCAGCATCACCAGTCCTTTTAAGATGGCACTTCCCACAAGTCTTTGTGTGATACTGTAAACAACAGCATGAAAATCCAGACCTGTGGATTCCAGGTTCCAGTCCATTCTTGTGTTTCATTGACATTTTATTGAAGGTAGTTCCAAATATATATATATATATTTTTTTTTTTTTGGTTTTTTTTGACTGTGTAAAAGACTAAGCATTTTTGTCGCTCCTCTCCCTCCTCCTCTTCTCCTTTCCCCTTCCTTGTTCTTTCCAGGATGCATGTGTGCTTTTAAAATTTATACAATATATATGTATATATGTATACTTTGATGTTTAATTAATTTTATTTAAAGAGAAGAATAGACATTTATTTAATGTCATCAATTCAATGAGAATATTTTTCTGTGTCATGAAAAATTCTTTAACTTGGTGAATATAGTCAATTAGGACACATGACATTCCTGAATGTGGACTTCTAAGGTGACTAAACAATTACCCTGGATTTTACATCACAGTACTTTGATGCCTAAGGGGACGTATTCTAACTACGTAGATCTAAGCATAGGTCCAGATTTATAAAGGAAACAAGAAAAGGTGGATATTTTTTCTAGGTGAACCCTAGAGCAGATTATGGCACAAATTACCTCTTTCTACTGTGCCCTGCTCAACGTGTCTTATAAAAAGTGTGTCTCCAGGAGGGGATTGTTCCTTGAATTTACTGCATTAGATTTGGCAAATCACCTCAGGTGAAGGAGTGGCTGTGGCATGGTCAGCACGCAGTTGGAGAAAATGGCTGCAGTTTCAACATGTGGAGGACACACAAACTGGTTCACATAGGCCATGGAGGGAAGGGAGGTGGGAAGAAGGAGGGATGAGGGATAGATCCCACAATACTCTGGTTTCTATGGAGTAAAGCTGCAGGGAAACTGAAATAGTCCTGGGCTCGAGCACTCTGGTTTGGGTTTGAAATTCTTGGAGTCTGCTACAGTTCCTCTAGTCTTTCTGCTCTTAGAGGAACAAATACCAGAGTCACTGAAGCGTGTTTGTAATTAGGCATTTCTAAGAAAACAAGAATAGGAGTGAAGAAATAGTAATTTAATCCTTGAAAGATTTGCATCCCAGTAAAAGCAGCTGCCTCTTAGACCAGAAAGGGCTCATTTGCCACAATGGAAAATAAAAAGGAGACCTCCCTCCAGGCTGAATACTGTGCCTACTTACATATTTCAGTTCGTTTTCATCAGCACCACACACACTGAATCTTCAGTGAGGAAAGATGCTTTGGAAACTGTATTTTTTTGTGTTTGCTACCTCGGTCATTCTGAATTTTGTAGGAATCGTTGCCAATCTTCTTATTATAGTGGTCATTTATAAGGATTGGGTCAGAAGCCACCGAGTCTCCTCTTCGGACAGTCTCTTGTTCAGCTTGGCTGTCACTAGATTCCTAACTCTGGTGTTGTTTCTACTGAACAATGTCTATAATGCTGCAAGCGCTGTAAGGTCAGTCTACTTTTCCACGTTTTTCCTGTTGTGTTGGAAGTTCCTGGACTCCAACAGTCTCTGGTTAGTGACCTTGCTGAACTGTTTGTATTGTGTGAAGATTACTAGTTTCCAGCACCCAGTGTTTCGTCTGTTGAAACGGGCAATCTCTGCAAAGACCTCCCGCCTACTGCTGGCCTGTCTTCTGATTTCTGCCTTCAGCACTCTCCTGTATCTTGTGCTCACACAGATATCACGCTTTCCTGAACACATAACTGGAAGAAATGAGACGTCATTTGACCTCAAAGAGGGCATATTGACATTAGCAGCTTCTTTGGTCTTGAGCTCACTGTTACAGTTTATGTTCAATGTGACTTTCGCTTCCTTGTTAATACATTCCTTGCGAAGACATATACAGAAGATGAAGAGAAACACTACCACCTTTTGGAATCCCCAGGTGGAGGCTCACATGGGTGCCATGAGGCTGATGATCTGCTTCCTCCTGCTCTACATTCCGTATTCAATTGCTGCTCTGCTCTATCCTCTCTCCTATGGAAGGAAGAGTCTGAGAGCCCAGGCTGTTTGCATAGTTATTACTGCTGCTTACCCTCCAGGACATTCTCTCCTCCTCATCATCACACATCACAAACTTAAAGCTAAAGCAAAGAAGATTTTCTGTTTCTACAAATAGTGGAATTTCATTCGTGAAGTTTGACAGCATGACTTCATGGTTTGGTTGCAAGTGTTAGAAATTTCACGGTGATCTAAGGACTTGATTTTGTGATTCTATATCTGACATCTTGACCCTGGTCCCGAGTGCTTGTATTTTAGTCAATACTGCATGTGTTTTTTGGCTAATATTTTAAAGTAAAGCACATTCCTTAAGGAATTGTATGAGGCATTTGTGTATTTTGCATGGCCATTACATTCCTAGATAGTGGAAATTATCATACTGTTCCACTAGCTGCTGAAGTATAAGGGGATGTCCCTGAATGAAGGCCACATTGTGATGTACATGGTTAACACAAATTAGAGAATTTAGCCAAGGATCTCTGAACAAGGTACCACTAATAACTAAGCTGTCACTGAGAACAGATTGGCTTAAAGGGTAACAAGGTAGTACATAAAGAAAAGAGGGAGGGGGTTCAGAGAAAAAGAGAAAAGTGGAAAGAGATAGGTGTGCATTTGTGGGGCATGATAGATAAAGGATCCTGATGTTTGTTGAGCTGTTACTATCAAGAAACCCTGGTACTGAGTTCTAGGCTTGATCTAGAAAGGGTCAGAGCTGATATAGTGACTGATAGTAAACAATTCACTTAAAACAGTTGAAACTCAAAGAATCTATTTTATTATCTAGAGACGTAGCCCTAGGGCAAAAGCAAGTTCTATTCAGATAGTGAGAGTAACACCATCTGAGTGGATATTTAGAGAGCACAGCACCTCCACCTTGTGCTCCAGAGTTCAGTGAAGGCCGAGAGCATTGAGCTGGTGGTGGAGTACTGGACTGGGGGCTTATCTCATCGGTTTCTACACTGCACAGTTGTCCAGGAGAATACTGTTTTGGGGAATCTGATGATGGGTGTTGACAAGTTATGAAGTGGGGATTGAGCATTCATTATTGACAATTGTATAGTTAAAATAAATTGCTTATGTAATATTTATATATCTCAAAATAAATAAACTTTTGAAATGTACAAATCACTTGACTTTTCCTGTTCTACCGTCTTCATTGAAAGAGTTAGTAAATATTACCCAACCAGTATTAATGTCATAAAACCTGGAGCTATTAGTTATGTTATAAAGTTAACAGATAAAAGGGATGCTGATAAGTGAAATCTGGGCCATAAGAACTCTAAATGAGTGGCAGAGCCCTTCATTAGTCCTTTAATATCCCTTTCTCCTCTTTTCATAGTAATCCAATTATGAGCTGTCCAGAATTTATAATTTCCTCTTATAAGTTGGTGCCATATTGCCAATAGAGTGTGAGAGGTACTGTACATAATTTCTAAGTGTGCCTCTGGACCAGTCATTTTCTTCCTTCCCATTTTCCCTTTTTTGTTTGTTTTGTTTTCCCCGTGGGCTAGAATGTTTACCTATCCTGAACTATGCATCTGAGGAGAACACTTGGGGATGGTGGAATTATTATCAATCCTCGAATTGGTGGCATGGTTCGTGACATAGGAGTGTTGTTACACAGTCTCTGAACTGTTTGTGCCTTAATTCCAGAATGGATCACGAGAAACAAACATCTCCATTGTTTGTTTTTCTTAAAACAGGAGCTGTTTTATTCTGTCACTTTAATGAAGTAACTTACAGTTTAGCATACTTTGATACAATAACACATATCTTCATCTTTATGATGAAATAGTATGTAATTACTTACAATATTATAATCAAAACACATATAATGTTATTTGTTAAGTAAAACAAAAAGCACATATATGTGTTATAACCAGTTTAAAAAATATGTACATCTGAAGAACAGTCTAAAAAGAAAGATACAAACAGACATATACATGCATGAAGCAATTATTTTTATGTTGAAAATTGATTTTTTTCTTTTACTGCTAGGCATAGAACCCAAAGCCTTGGTCATGCTAGGTAAGTTATGTACCATTAAACTACATCTATAGCCCATTTTGGAAGGTTTGAGTAATATTTTTGTATTTTTCAAACTTTCTATGATAATCATAAACTTTCAAATATATGTAATATTTACAGTATATATGTTATCCAACCAATGATCCACCTTTTAATGGACAGATAGGGGATTCTTATATGAATATCCAGTTTCTCCTTACTCAGAAAGAAAAGTGATTAGTATTTCTCTTGTTTTGTCTGATTATTGTTTTTAATGGAATAAACAAACCCTTGAATGTTTAATTTCATACAATTTATAGTGAAAACCACTTCTAGACTGAGTAGGTTTGATTGCAGTTACTATGGAAATGACTTTTCAGAGAACATAGGGACCTCTAGAGAGCACTGACTTTATTTTTGATAAATATTTTTGTTATTTCATTGAGAATTTCACACAGTATAATTTGGTCATGTTTACTCCCAATTCCCTTAACCCCTCCTAGATCCACCGCCATGTCTCTAACCCACCACTTCTGTTTTTAAAAATTAAAAACACATTAAATCCAGTTTATGCTGTCTTTTTAAAAAAGTTAATAACCCATCAAATCCAGTTTGTGCTGTTCATATACTTCTGGATATGGACCATTTCCTGGAATGTAGTGGAACTACCAGGAGCCACACCATTAAAGAAAGCCAACTTCCCCTTCTCCAGAGATTATCAACTATCCATACCTCCTCAAGGGGCAGGACTCCCGGATCCCCTTCCAACTCCATACTCAAAAGTTGAAAGTTGATTGGCTTGATCTTTTTTTTTTTTTTGGTTTTTCGAGACAGGGTTTCTCCGTGTAGCTTTGCGCCTTTCCTGGGACTCACTTGGTAGCCCAGGCTGGCCTCGAACTCACAGAGATCCGCCTGGCTCTGCCTCCCGAGTGCTGGGATTAAAGGCGTGCGCCACCACCGCCCGGCCCCTGGCTTGATCTTTTGTAGATCTTGTGCAGGCAGCAATAGTTGCTATGAATTCATGAGTGTTGTGGTCCTGTCATGCTTAGAAGACACTGTTTTGATATGATCCTGCATGACCTGTGGCTCTTACAATCTTTCTACCCCCTCTTCTGCAATGGTCTCTGAGCCTTGGCAATGGGGTATGATATAGATGTCCCATTTGTGGCTGGGTACTCTCTGAACTTTGAACAGTTATTGGTGTTTCTGTTATCCACTACCTTCTGCACAAAGAAACTTCTCTGGTGTGGTCTGAGAGCTGCACTGTTCTACAGATAGAAAGAGATTTAGGAGGCAGTTTGATACAATGTCTATTTAGCAAAATAATAGGAATATATTTATTCCTGGAGCCCCTGCCTCAACCGTGGGTTCTTAGTCAAGTCTGCAGTATTTAGGGATGTGTTTCCTACAGTGGAGTTGGCCTTAAATCCTATGAGAAAGAGATTGATTACATCCATAACATCCTTGCCATTATTGCATTTATACATTATTGCATTTCACAGCTGGGTAAGACTGTTCATGACCCCCCACAACACAGCAGCCTTCATAGCACCTTCCAATACTAAGAGAGTGTCTTAGGGTTTCTAGTCCTGTGAAGAGACAATATGACCATGGCAACTCCTATAAAGGAAAACATTTAACTGGGACAGGCTTACAGTTCAGAAGTTTAGTTCATTATCTTCATGGTAGGAAATGTGGTGGCATGAAGGCAGACATGATGCTAGAGAAAGAGTTGAGAGTTCCACATCTGGATTCATAGGCATCAGAAAGAGACAGTGAGCCACTAGGCTTGGCTTGAGCATCTGAGACCTCAAAGCCCACCCCTAGTGTTACACCTCCTCCAACAAGGCCACTCCTCCTAATAGAGCCACTGCCTATGAGTCTATGTGGGGCCATTTTCTTTCAAACCATCACAGAGAGCTATCTGTCAGAAAGGAAGATTCCGAGTGAGTACAACATTGACTTCTCCATGTCCTATGACTAATATGTGTAGTATCTTCAGTACATAGTCTTTCCACCAAGTTCCAGTCGTCAGCCAAGAGCAATGACAATAGTTTGTATTGTGTGCGGGCCTGTGGAACACCTCTGTCCAACAAGTGGAGGGGAGATATCTTACATTGGGCACTGAGCTTTTTATTTGCCAGTGTATGGGTCCCGGGATGAGCATGCTCTCTACATATTAAGTTGTTCTGATGAAACTCTGCTGATTTGCTTCGTGATTAGCCTCTGTCATCTTCATCTTCCTCCCCACTTGTGTTGGATGTGCTGTCTTTGTACTGACTCTTTTTGCTGCTTGGAAAAAGTCTTGAGAATTTGTTAAGCACTTGTCCAAAGTCCTCACTGGAGACTTCTTTTTCATTGCTACAGGTTTGGAGTTTTTCTGGTTTCAACATACTCTCTGTTTAATATCTGCCGTTAACTGGATTTGGACAGTTGTCTTAGTGGCTAAGAACACTTTCTGCTTTTGCAGAGTACTCAAGTTTGGGTCCCAGCACCCATGTCAGGTAGCTCACGAGCACCTGCAACTCCAGTTCCAAGGGATCCAATGCAACCTTCTGGCTTCCACAGACACTGCACTCTGTGCACAAACCCACTCTCAAACACCTACATGTACACATACCTTTTTTTTTTTTAAAAAAAAGAAACTAATCAGAGGTTTAAAAAATGTTTTGTTTTGTATTTTAAAAAACATTATGTGCAAACTCTTGTCTTAGCTTCTTTTCATGTTGCTGTGATAAAGTAATCTGACAAAAGCAAGTTGAAGAAAAGGGAGTCTATTCTAGCTTGAAGTTAAAGGTGCACTCCTTCATAGTCGGGAGGTCATGGCAGAAGGAGCTTGAAGCAGCTGGGTCACATTGCATACACAGAAAAGTTAAAAAGAAAGCAAAACAGAGCAATGAATGCATGCATGCTGCTGTTCATCCAACTCACTTCCTCTATTTATTTAGTCTAGGATTCCCATCAGGGCCCACAGTGGGCAGAAAAATTTAATGTAATTTCCTAAGGCAGGCTCACAGTTTCATCTCCTAGAAGATTCTACAACATGTCAAGTGGAAATCCACATTCATCACAGCTCTCTAGTATAAGTATTAATGTCCTACATCTCCTTCTATCATCCACCTTTAGAAGGAAAACAAGTTTCTTTCTATCACTTAAGTTTGGGTTTCCTTATTAATAAATCATTTTGAAGTTTTATTTTTTCCTATTAGAAAGGACCATTTGGGAGAAACATTAATATTTTAAATCATGAATTAAAGGTAACTTTTTGATGTTATTCAATTTGTCCTTAGATAATTCACAAATATACACAGGGCATATTGAACCCTTCTACCTCTAACCCTCTCCCACCTCCCTCCCACTCCTGTCAAACCCCCTCTCCCCCACAATCTCTCATGCTCATGTCTATTCATTTTGTTTTGTTACCCAGTGACTACACCCAGGGCCATCTGTGTAACCACGGGTTCGGAGCTATGCGTTAGAGCCTGGGTGGTGGGCTCAGCAATAGATATACAACTAAAGACCATGATTGCCCTCTCCCAGAATCTATGAATGGTCGGTAGTTCAGCTATAAAGGAAAGTACCTCCTGAGTCCCTTCTCTTTCCATGACTGATTGACAAGGCCAGTCTCGTGTGATGCCTAGGGCAAGTGAACACAAACGTTGTGAGTTAATGAATACAATACTGAGCCTAAAGAGGACATTTCTCAGCCCTTCATCCTGTCTTCTGGCACTTACATACTCCTCCTCCCAAGAGAAAAACCCATGTACAGTTTTATCCCATAAGAAGAAAAGTGTGAGAAGAAACTGTGAGAGAATTTGCCTGACATGCAAATCAGCAGGGGTGTGATCTGTGTTAATGAGTGTAAGGAAAGATGAGAAGAAGCAGAGATGATCGAGAGAATAAACAACAACCCTTCCTCAAATGTATGGCACTAAAGGTCCGAGGTCAATATTTCCTCAGAATAGCTTGAGTTTTCTCTGACTTGTGGCTGTGTGGATGTATCACAGACTGAGAGACCAGCTCCCAATCTGCTTCAGGATAGCAAAGGAAGACCTTAGAGTACCAAGGGTTTAGGAAAAATTCTTATCTGAGGGCTAGACCTTTTGTATCTAAGGGGAAAA